CTGGACCGGATGGCATCTCTGCTCGTGTGCTCAAGATGTGCTCATCTGAACTTGCAGACCCACTGGCAAAGCTCTTCGCCCTCTGCTTCTTAGCCGGTGTGCAACCTGGGGCATGGAAACTTGCCCATGTAGTCCCAGTTCACAAACGGTCCTCCAGATCTTTGGCAACTAACTACCGACCAATATCACTGCTAACGATCATGTCGAAAATCATGGAGGGCATTGTAAACACGCAACTGGTTAACTACCTAGAGAAGCATGAGGTGTTGCCAAACAGCCAGTTTGGATTCCGACGTGGTAGAGGAACCGCAGATATCTTAACGGCTCTCCAACATGAATGGGTCCACATCATAAGTACTGGCGGTTGTGTCCAGGTCCTCGCCGTGGATATTGCCGGTGCGTTTGACCGGGTATCGCACACAGGAGTGCTGTACAAAGCAAAGCAGGCCGGCGTCGACGGACGCCTGCTTGTATGGCTACAGGACTACCTCACCAACCGAAACATCCGCGTTGTGGTTGGAGGCCAGACGTCAAATGCTCAACCCATCCAGGCTGGTGTCCCCCAAGGCAGCATCCTAGGACCCAGCCTCTTCCTTCTATACACCTGTGACATTGAACAATGTTTAACTCCAGGAACGCAGCTGAGCAGCTTTGCAGACGACACCACACTCTACAGCTTAGTACAGCCAACTGACGATCTCCAACAGTCCACCGCCTCCCTCCAAGGGTCCCTCAACAGTCTTGAGGAGTGGGGCCGCAAGTGGCGTATCTGTTTTGAGCCAGCCAAGACACAGCGCATGACTCTACATCGCAAGCACGTTCCCCCCTGCACTCCACCAGTCACCTTTGGAGGTGAAGCACTCCAGGAGACAGATACCCTGAAGCTGCTGGGAGTCATGCTCGACCCTACTCTCTCCTACAGAGCGCACACTCGCAGTGTTGCACTGCGCGCCTCCCAAAGGCTGGGTTTCCTACGAAAGGCAGCACCCATCCTGGACGACCATGGTCGAGTGACGGTCTACAAGGGATTCGTGCGACCCCTACTTGAATATGCCCCACTGGCACTGGCCTGGTCGAGCGCAGCCGCAACTAACATGGCCCAGCTGGACAAGGTTCAGCAACGTGCCCTGCATTTCCTGGGACCTGGAACCATCCTCCAAAGTCTTCAGCTTCGTCGGATGGTGGCAGCCCTGTCATACTTGTTCAAGCTGCACTACATTCCAGGGCCTCCCCAGGTAAAGGCCATGCTGCCACCAACCAAGCCCCCTGCCATAGCTAGCATGTGCACACGGCAAAAACGTCAGACGCACCATGCCTTTCAGCTGAAGTGGACACCCCCTCGCACAGCCCCTGACTACCTCCTGCGATCCTTCCCCTTCTTCGCCATCACACCCTGGAACAACCTGCCTGCGGACCTCCTGCTTCACGAGCCTCATTCAAGACGCCTCCAAACCTTCAAGGTCAACGTATGTAAGGATCTAATCCGAAAGAGATGGCTGTGGTCCACACAGTATCTGTGACGATGATATTGAGATTTGAGACCCATTTAGTATTTACCTCTCTACTACTACTTGCTTGTTATGATTATTGTTCTCTTTCTTCATTTTCCCTTCTGGTTTAGTCATTACACGTATTTATAATTATTATTTGGTGCAATACTAGCGCCCCTTTCTCGCACCAAATTATTATTTTTGCTACCTGACCATGCACCCCCCCTTTTTTTCGATGCCAGGTTGCAACGCTAACGCCGAGACCCCTGGTCGGTCGAGTTGCTCCCTGTACATCGGCACGTCGTCCCTACATCCCCTGTGTCTTGTCTTGTGTTTGTCTCCACATGTCTCTTTGTAGGGCTGTGTTCCCAATAAAAAAAAAAAAAAAAAAAAAAAAAAAAGTGCCAGCATAATCACCAAATTCAAAGAAAAAGGACTAAGGAACTACAAGTTGCCCTATAATGTCCCCTAACACCCCCAGTTACTAAACAATCAGCTCATTCAATAACATTGCACGAGACTCACCAACGGTACTGACGTTCTACAACTAACTGGCTAACAGCTCTAGCACATCTTGGATGCGCACTCCAACAGCCTTCCAACTCCAGCCCTCACCGTTGTCTACACGGATTTCAAAAGCGTTGACCTCCATTTTCAAAACATGGTGGCTGGCCGCGCTGCCCGTAGGCGCACGTGCCCCCCCCCCCCCCCGCGTGGCTTCGCGCGAGCTTCAAGCTAAGATCATGTTGCGCACTCATTTTCCTGTGTTTCCCTATTTCTTTGAACTCGCTCAGCTTTTGCTTTGTCTCCACGCTGTAGTCTGAGTAGTTCTCTTGTCTTCTTGCAGCAGAATGCTGCGAGCTCTATGTTGCGTCGAGGTTCTCCTTTTTTTCCCGCATTGGCGAGGCCTTTGCGTAGAGACCGACCGTTGATCGTTTCAGTCCTATCTTGTCGTCGCGTCATGGGCGCCCGAATGCAACAGTAACTTCTTGTCGTTCCATTTTCTGGCGATCTCATTCACCTACTACTTCTTCCTTATGAAAGTTTCAGGTGGCTGAGTTCTCCCATTAGCGACAATCATGCCATGGAAAAGAACGAGATGGTCCTAAGGTATGTACAGCCAGTGCAGTGATGACAGTGTACTGCTCTGCAGAAAGCACCTGAACTGCGCGTAGTTGTTGTTTATTTTGTTTTGTCGAGAAAGAATCCTTTTGATCCCTTTCGCACTCGCGCGGGTAGCGAGGGCGCAGCACGGAAACTAGTCTATTGAATTCCTTTCTTAGTCGATTTTGACAACCAATACGTCGTTGTTTTTTTTCACTGCCTATCCTTTCTCCGCTTCCGAATTGCGATGCCGTTCACCTGGATATCCTTGAAGTGAAACGAGTGGAGGTCAGATTCGGAGGTAATTTTCGGCCCAACAGCAATCAAATCGAAAAAAATCGAAGCGGACGATCTGTTGGTATCTATCGAATGAAGATGTTGGTCCATAAAAAATCTTTGGAAACTACACCGTATGAACGAAGGAATTATGGTAAGTTTGAGAATTTTGGTACATTAGCTGCACGCTGATTGGTCGAATAGCGCGACCGTTGACAAACGGTCCAGTGACGTTTTGTACAGCATTGGTGAGGGCTTAACTTGGAAGGTTCTAATTTACAGAAATGACGGTCAGTGTCGTGCAATGTTATTGCATGAGATGATTGTTTAGCAACTGGTGGTGTTAGGGGACATTATAGTGTAACTTGTAGTTCCTTGGTCCTTTTACTTTTCATAAATTAATCCTTGGCTCTCCATCCGAGTTCAAATTCAAAGGCAACAACTTGTTTTCCAAGTATTAGGGGGAGTTAAGCCTTAAATCAAATTTTCACCAGTTGTAGTCTTCGCTGTGCTGAGTCGAATGGTCTTGGTCCGAGGAAGCTGAGCTACTCCCTTCCTACTTTATTCCCAATCGAACTCGCACACTTCCACCGAAACTGGGTGACTGCGCCCTACTGGATGGGGTGTTGTAGGCAAAATGTCACTAAAAGCGCACATTTTGTTCTTATCAAAGCAAGGACGACCGCAATTGGCTATATGTTGTAGTCTGTTGGCTGCTGAGTCGACTGGTTTTGGTCCGAGAAACCTGCGATGCAACGTTTCTTCCGTATTCCAAATCGAGCATAGTTGAGTAAGCGGTCACGTGCTCATGCGTGCGGAAGTCACCTGGTCACCGTTCCTGCAGGCTACGACTTTCACATCGAGTTCAACTCGAGTGACAGGAACGCGCCCAAACAGGCTGTAAGTTGTAGCCTGCAGGCACGATGACCAGGTGACTTGTGCACGCATGAGCGCGTGTTCGCCTATTCAACTATGTTTGATTGGTAATACGGGCCGAACGCTGCATTGCAGCTTTCTCGGACAGAAACCTGTTGACTTGACGTCTGAAAGACTACAACATATGGTCCGATCGTGGTCATCCGTGCTTTTATAAGAACAAATGGGGCTTTAGTGAAATTTTGCCTACAACACCTCATCTAGTAGGGCGCACTCACCCAGTTTTGGTGGAAGTGTGCGAGTTCGATTGGGAATAAAGTAGGAAGGGAGCATCTTAGCTTCCTCGGCCCAAGACCATTCGACTCAGCACAGCGAAGACTACAACTGGTGAAAAATTTGATTTTCTTGATCAAATTTGTGGCATAAAAGGGGAAGTTAAGCTCAAAAGCTTAACTCTTTGAAGCCCAGCTGGGTTTTCTGATTTCCCAGGCATTCGCACAGCATTGCACGCAACTACGGATGGTCGATTTCAAAATTGCATAATTCACTCATCAGCAAAGGAATTTCATCTGCAGCTCTCTGGAAAACTTGTTATCTCCTCAATCCAAGGATAAAGACAACACACTAAGCAGAAGCAACAGAAGCGCCTCCAGGTCCCTTGAGTGCAGCTCTATCGCGCCGGGACAAGATACACCACCCACAGCAACAATTTCCTTCGGTTCCTGATTTTTACTCAGCACAAAACAACGATTCAAACTTCTTCGTGCTGCTGAAGCTCAAGCGATCATCTTGGTACCCATCGCGCATGGGCTGCACTGTTATGAGTCATGGGGAAACCTCATACGCACGAGTGTTCTGCTCGAAAATTTCAAAACTCTCAACTTTCGAAGTATGCAGCCGCGTTTCGGTCTTTGCCGCTCAGGTATTTCACATTGCGCTGCCACAAGTGACACACCGCTGGAAAGGTCTTTTCCTTACGTTTCCAACAAGCTATCGTTTGTGAAAATCAAAGAAAGGACAACAGAGATACGAAGCTTGGTAAAGTGATCTATGCTCAATGCGTAGACAGTGCGCGTTTGGACGAGTATACTCGTCCTTGAGAAATCACTAGGGACAAGTGTACTCGTTCTTGGGCTTCAAAGGGTTAACTTCCACTTTAAGCCACCTGCTTCCTTCTGCTCCTAATACTTTGAAATGTTTTGTGAAATCTAAAATTGGCATTTGCAAATCCTTTCATTTTTTAGGGAGACTTACAGTAACGGACGCAAATGAATGGCAGAGCTTCCTCGCAGGAGTATTCTAGGAGACTGGATTGGAATGCACCAGCACGGAACACTGCACAGCCATCAGCATCAGGATCCCTGGCCCAGTACTCGTACTGTTTGGGCATAGAGTATTTTCGAATGAGCATGCTATGATCCGCATTGCCTGTCTGATTCGCAAGGCTTGAGTTACTGACGAGAGCAGTACAAAACCTCTGAGCTCCTCGCCAGCTACGGACCACTCCCTGGGGCATTAGGTAGCCCACTGATGGGTTGTCTATGCTGCGTGTCCACTGATCTGTCCAGATGTAGGGAAAACACACACACACAAACACACAAACACACACACACACACAAACACACACACACACACACACACACACACACACATAGGAACAAAAGCATTTCCAGCATAATTACTTGGTCCGCGTCAGCAATATTGTCGCTTATCTTTCGACAATTTGAACTTAGACTTTGGACATGAACGCGTGCACTTGAAGTGATAAAACTTGGTACGATGGACGGTAAGGTATAGAATGACAACTAGCTATAAGGAATTTATTGTCCAAGGAAGGGTTCCTACTTTTTTCGGTCCTCTTCGTCGCTGCTCTCGACGCTGGTGACAAATATTTTTGTTCGGGCTCGACTCTCTTGCTTTTGCAAGCTCATCTCTCTTCCTCTCTGCTGCCTGGCTATTTTCTAAACAGTAGTCGATCGTGACGGTCGCCTTCTCTATAGGACTTTGCGTGGGCAGTACGACAGCCTGTGTGGTTCAAATGCTCTTCAGCCGAGTCATCAAATATGTCTTCTTCGTCTCTTTATCCCCTTATTTTCCTAGCGAATTCAAAAATGCATATGCATGCGCCCCCCTCCCAATACCCCTCCCCCCCCCCCCCCCACAAAACAACACAGGCATACACACACACAGTAATGCGTACACACAACCACTTTAACTTAACACACACATGACCGTACAAACACATACAAACATACACAGACTCACGCGCACACTACTATATGTCACCACTTGACAAACTACACCAAATAGCCAAACCATAACGTAGCGGTCGTGTACGTACCTTTGTGAGAAGCTTCTCTTGTGACTGTTGAGGAAAACAGAAAATAGGAAGTTGAGCAAACAATCAGAATCAAGATGTCCAACCCTTCCTAACCCCTAATCACATGCATTGGATAATGAGTGCAAGAAAACCATAATATTATAGTCTTCAGACCAATTTTAATTGCTTGCTTCTATGATGAAATCCTTGGCTTTAGTTGTAAGTGCATAGCAATCAGCTCAAGCTGGATTCAAGCAGGTGTTATGCTGCGAATGTGCATGTGAGTTAGACATGTTGAGTTGCTTCTCAACGCAGGCCGATAACTCTCATGTAAACACAAGCAACGTGTTTGTGTTTCAGTCAGTGGCATGTGCAGCCGGTCCGGCCGGTCCGGCTTCGGCAGGACCATTCAATGCCAAAAGTGCCCAGAATGCAGGACTTTGTGCCCTAGTTTCAAAAGGCTCACGGGGGAGACTCCCTCCGGCCGGACCACGTCCAACGACGGTGCTACGCGCATGGTGCAGCTGTATGGACCAGGAATAAATATACCCTGTATCGCATTGGAGTTTGAGATGCAAAATCGATCTACTGCTACTCAAAAGTCATCGTAACTCGTAGAAAGTTACAATACATGCAGACTGTCCATGCGTAGCCATGCGTAGCCATGCATAGCCGTGCGTAGCCATGCGTAGCCATGCGTAGCCATGCGTAGCCTGAACTGTCAAGAGTAACATGCATACAGTACAGTATATGTGGTGCAGGTACAAAAGAAAAATGCTAATCAAAATCAAAGACTGCTACACAATTGTGAACTTGCATAGCATAAACTTATATTCAAAAATGTGCAATAAACTCATCCCTGGTATGGCCAGCCTGATTTCAAGTCAAGTCACGTTGCATGTAATGCCGTGGATGGCCATTTTTGATCATTTTCGCAAATTTGACCATTTCGCACAAATCAATCTGAGTAGGCCAAAGGGAGTCAAGAACTTACATTGACAACGCTCTCCATAGTAAGGATCCAAACAGCGACAATAGTATGATCCAATTGTGTCAATACAAGAACTGTTGCCCTCAGGACAGTCATGCGGACCATTATCTGTACACTGGTTGATAACATCAGCTGGTGTTGGGGCAAGTGAAGAAAAAAACCCATATAAATACATTTCCACAAGCTAGCCTTTGCAATTAAAACTATAAAATACACCAATACAATGTCATGCATAGCATAACTGCCAATCGGACAATGTGACTGGTCACTATTGACGCACGGAGAGCAATTGAAAACGCCTAGGATCACAGCACTGGCATCACTGCCCTGTACAGTCTCTATCGGCATGGTGCAGTCGTCACACCAGCAGTGACCGTTCGTTTTCTTCGGACTTTGAAACCCATGCTTCCCGTGAATCCATACAAGCTGCATATCTGCCGTTACTGAGAGTGCTTTTTCTGGATCGCCATTGCAAAATTCCGGGATTTGCCTTCTTTTTCAGGATGTCCTCTTTTTCCAAAAAAATCCTTTTTATACTTTTGATGGCACCAACATTTCGATAATAGGTGCCTGATGTTGATCATCGGATCACACTTACGCATGTTCACGACTAAAGTAAACGGAGGTTTTTCAGGGACTGTGCATGGAAGGAGCACTAGTACTGTAGTAGATCCACTGGTACTGGAGGCTTTGGTGGTCCAGAATCAATAAGGACAACTACTGGCCTGTGACAAGTCATTTGAAGTGCTCCAAGTACAATATCAAGCTTGTTTCTTGTACAGTGAATTTCAGGATAATCAACAGGAATTTCGGGATAGCGGGAGTTCATCCAAAATTGCGGGATAATCCTGGTGGGAAAACAGCCTTACCGTACTTGCGCGATTAGTGCCCCCGGGGCACTATTTTTTCAAAGTCCGTCACAGGCGGGGCACTATTCAAAAGAGGGCACTATTTTTTCAAAGTCTGTCACAGGCGGGGCACTATTCAAGAGAGGGCACTATTTTTTCAATGGTGGTACAAGTCCGTCACTCAACGCAAAAAAGAAGAAAATCAAGGAAAAGAGCATCAGGACTGTAATTCTGAAATGCACTTGTCAATGAGACAAGAAAGAGCAATCTCGCACACCGGGAACAGGCAGTAAACATGGGAACAGGCCGTAAAAGCGTAACTTGAAGCAATCAAGCCTAGACAAAAGAATGCCACACACTCAAACCCAAGCACATACCACACAAAACGGGTACACACACTTGCATGCACAAATGCGACGGATTCCTCAAACGGCAAGTTCATAAAAACCTAGGGCAAGAAACTGAATCACACATGTGCATGGATGCAGTGTACACAAATGCCAAGACAGCCCATGTTCAGTCACTTTCCTCATCAGCAGCGTCACTGCATCACTTCCGAATTGGCTGCTAGCAGACTCAAAGACGTCTTCATCGCCGTCATCACTATCACCTTCTGACTCGCTGTATATGGACACAATGTCGTCATCATGATCACCTCCATAGCCATCTCCAATATCACTCAGGCTTTCCGTGTCGCTGACATCAATGCACACGATGTCCTAATCTTCCTCAGCAGAGTCACTGCTGTCACTTCAAAATTGGCTGCTAGAAGACGTAAAGTCCTCTTCTTCACCATCATCATTATCACTTTCCAACTCGCTGTGTATGGACATAATGTCATCACCATCACCTCCATAGCCATCTCCAACATCACTACGTCCGCCACCCGTTGCCCTCGCCGAAGAATCATGTTGCTTTCGCAGCTTTGACTCGTTCTTTTTCCAAACCCTGATGCATTTATGGGCAACACCAAATTTCCTAGCAGCAACCGCACCTGACGCACCTGATCGCCAACATCCTCTTTACTGTTATTTTTCGACGCATTTTTCCCATAGTAAAAGGACAAGCAAGATTCTACAGAGCTAGAAACTGGAACAAGGACTTCTACTTCGATCATAAACACCTGCTCGACGACAAACATAAGAACACGAGCTAACAGCACCAAATTTGCAAATTTGCGCTTGCGCTTCAATGCAGCCCCTAGGGCACTATTCGAGAGAGGGCTTTATTTTTTCATTGGGGCCCCCAGGGGGGGGGGGGGCACTATTCGAGATAGGGCTCTAATCGCGTGAGTACGGTAACTGTTGGAGTAGAATATAAGTTATGTGTTTAAGTTCATAGCAAAGGTGTTTGCCCCCCCCCCCCACCGGAGCTTGCACATTTCCGCCGTTTTGACTTGACGGACTCACGACTGCCATCCAGAGCACACGAGAAGCCCATCGAACCTTTGACTCGGCAAACCTGCAAGAAAGCAGTACTGAAATCATCGCCGAATTTAATACCACAATCTTGAGCATTTATACCCATGGTAAAATAATTTCTAGAACAAATTGGAAGTGTTTCCATACTTCAATGCAGCACATGTATCTGCGCAATCCACTCCAGTCCAAATGAATACCAGGTAATTTTAGAACCGAACGTTTTCATTCCCTTCTCTTCGTGGAATTCTTACAGGGAATAAAGCAATAAAATTACAATGACAGCACTTATATAGGCAAAGAAAAGAATCGTCGAAAACGTTCGGTTCTAAAATTTCCTAGTGCTCATGTAGACTGGCGTGGATTCCGCGGATGCATATACTGCATTGAAAAATTTATAATTATATCCTTTGTGTTTATGTTGACCGTCAAGGAAGCTTGTGATACACTGTAACAGGAGGGCTGAGTTGTTACTTACATGCACAGAGCACCATTCGTTCTGCTGTTGAGGCGTTAACTACTGGTTGCAGATGCACGATGGAATGTTGGTAGTCCACAGATTCGTTAGGTCTGTTTGTCCAGAAATCTGAATCCTTGAAGTGGACTGTCACCGGTTGCAAGAATGTGTGCAAACATGTGGACCGATGGAACCAAGGATCATAAAAGTCTCCTTTGCATTCTTTGAGGGCAACTTCTTTCGTGAAACGATAAAACTCATTCCCGACAACAGCCCGTAAGCGTAGGTCTCCACATGTTGTCATTAGGGGTACTGTGAGGAAAGTAAGACAAAACACACAGAGATGGCATTAGGGGTACTGTGAGGAAAGTAAGACAACAAACACAGAGATGGCATGTGCTCCAAGCTTCCTCAGAGGATTGAGAGCCAGCCCCGTATCTTGTAAGCTGTGAACTTCACCAACACTATTGCTATGGTGGCTGTATGATATCAAGGCAAATGGCATACCTACTACATTGATTATTCATAAGAAGAAATGAAGACGAAGGAACTACAACTAACATTGTTATCACGTTGGGCAGTGTCGTGCAATGATATGAGCTGAGCTGATTATAGAGTAACTGTTGGTGTTAGTAGACCTTATAGCGTAACTTGTAGTTCTGTGGTCTTTACTTCTTCGTGTAAATTAATCCTTGGCTCTCCACCCGAGTCTATTTGATTATTCAGTTCACATCTCAGGCTGGCTTCAGCTGAAAGCCTCTTCATTCTTCCATTGTCTGGATAATCATGATGTCAAAAGGCTTCTCTTCTTGGCTGCATGTTCAGGTACAGATAGTCCCAGCCAATACCAGCCTGTCCTTTGGCATACTTTTGATATAAATTAAAAACCCTATAAAATGTATAATATAAAATGTAATTTGATAAACGAAATCAATAAAATTATTGTCTCCTCGCTGTGTTTGATAAATATGGTGGTAAAGACACACCTGGCAATATGGCGGTAAACACACGCCTGCCCACACACGCTCTCTAGGCTGCAAAGTTCTGGCACAGAGCTCTCCTTCTCACCACCACCACCATCAGTTCGCGCCTGGCGCCTGGTCGATGCATGGTTGGCGGTATCCGGCATAGCAGGCTGGTACATCAAGTAGTGCATGGCACATAGCAGATGACACAGCAACGACATAGCTCGATTGCGACGTACGTTTCGTCCCCGCTGGACTCATCAGGCAATCTTCTTCTTGGATGTCTTCACACGGAGCTTGACTCGGGAGAATGAATTTGAAGACACCACTGCAGCTGTACTTATGGTTGATAAATATGGTGGTAAAGACACACCTGGCAATATGGCGGTAAACACACGCCTGCCCACACACGCTCTCTAGGCTGCAAAGTTCTGGCACAGAGCTCTCCTTCTCACCACCACCACCATCAGTTCGCGCCTGGCGCCTGGTCGATGCATGGTTGGCGGTATCCGGCATAGCAGGCTGGTACATCAAGTAGTGCATGGCACATAGCAGATGACACAGCAACGACATAGCTCGATTGCGACGTACGTTTCGTCCCCGCTGGACTCATCAGGCAATCTTCTTCTTGGATGTCTTCACACGGAGCTTGACTCGGGAGAATGAATTTGAAGACACCACTGCAGCTGTACTTATGGTTGATAAATATGGTGGTAAAGACACACCTGGCAATATGGTGGTAAACACACGCCTGCCCACACACGCTCTCTAGGCTGCAAAGTTCTGGCACAGAGCTCTCCTTCTCACCACCACCACCATCAGTTCGCGCCTGGCGCCTGGTCGATGCATGGTTGGCGGTATCCGGCATAGCAGGCTGGTACATCAAGTAGTGATAAAGATAAAAAGGTAAAGAAAGGGGAAGCTTTGCAAAAACGAATTGAACATGCCGAAAGCCAAACTCCTACAGTACTCTTCATGCATGACATTGTGATGGACCACTTGGTCCGGCTCATCGCAATTGTCGCTTATCTCCCACGCACCTTTTGACAGGTTAAACCCAGTCCAATCACGATATCTACCGTATTATCCGGGGTATAAGCCGCACCGGGGTATAAGCCCCACCCCCCTTTTTGAGGCAAAATATTGACTAAAAGTTGGTATTCGGAGTATAAGCCCCACCCACAAACCAAGATTTTTCACACTCATTGACAAATGGCCTTTCTACAAATTTATTATGGTTATGGAGCTAAATACCATGTTAGATCAGATTATGAAGTGTTAGTGCACCACAGGTTGCTGCAGAGATGTTGGTGTATTGCTGTGTTGACTACAGATCACTCCATGCCATCTGCACTATCTTCAGTCTCGCTGCCACTGATGTTGATCAAAGCTACCTCTGCAGCGATGCCGTCGCCGTCTTCATCGCTGCCGGAGTCTGAATCATTGTGGTCCTCAAAGATCATGTCATTTTTAGTGCCGTCCAGTGCATTTGAAATTGAGCACTTTTGAGTGATTTGGCGACCATTGTAGTTTGGATGGCCTTCCATGACTCATCCACCCATTTGCATACTTTGGAAATTGATAGTTTCTTCATACGGCCTGTTGGTGTAAACTCATGGTTTCCACCAATGATCCAGTCCGTCCAGTGCTGCCTGATGTGGCACTTGAATGGCTTGTTGAGGCACACATCAAGTGGCTGAGGCTGGGATGTCAGACCACCAGGGATAACAGCAAGGTCGGTCCTTGTTTCACGAGCACGTCTTTTGAAGTTCTCTACTAGATGTGCACGAAACGCGTCAAAGACAAGGCAGCTTCGAACAGGGGTGCTCCCACGGCCACCTTGCCTTGCACACCAAACCTTATCCAGCCACATATGCATTCCAGCTGCATCCATCCAGCCTTTGGGGTGAACGTGGACAATGACATCAGGCGGCACTGCATCCTTTGGCATAGTCTTTCGCTTGAAAATGACAAATGGCCCTAACTTTGTCCCATCGGCAAGGCATGCTAAAGCCACAGTAAAGTGCTCTCGTTCGTGCCCTGTCGTTTTGATGTGAATAGTCTTCGCTCCGATTTTGTCGATAGTTCGGGACAAGGGCATGTCGAAGTTCAGAGGCGTTTCATCCATATTGCCAATATGATCTAGCGGATACTTGTTCTGTTCTCTCAACCTGATGACGTTGCGCTGAAAGGACAGAATCTTCTCCTCAAACTCGTCCGGCAGTCGCTGGCACAGGTGAGTCTTCGGCCGGATAACAAGGCTATGTCGCTTCATGAAACGATAGCACCAACTAACAGTTGCGTTGAAACTTACGGCGTTCATCTCCTTTGCTAAGACTTTCGCTTTTAGGCGAATCATTGTGCCACTCAATCCAATCCCATCTTGTCGATTTTTCTCGATCCATTCGAAAACCTTACGCTCAAGTTCATTCCATCGTGGCTCGGGTCCAGCATGTAGCGATTTGGACGCGACTTTCTTCTTCGACAGCTCGACTTTCTGTTTCCGCCACCTACGAACCATTGACTCATCGATGTCGAAGTGTCTCGCGCAGGCCCGATGTCCATGCGCTTCGGTGAAGAGCACAGCGCGTATCTTCTCCTTCACGGTGTATGTTGTCTGCCGCGGCATGGTCAACTCCAGGACACCATCAAAGTACCGGCAAGAATAGCTAAAGAAACAAAATAATCTGAACGACTGAAAGACGAATTAAGAAATCTTTACCAGCAGCTTCTGTAGCTCTCACACCACTGCCACTACGAGATCCCAGGTGTCTTTTTCTTTGGCATTACCCCCAGCACAGAGTACGGCTGGCTTTTCTCGGATTGGCTATCTCGCTGCTGACCGGTGGAGTATGCTGCCTTCCACTGTTCGTACTTGTACCGATTACCGCTCATTTATTCGCTCATGCATAACCTTCCAAGGGGCTCCCGTAAGAAGACCATAGGTCTGTGGGAAACACCCTAGTAAAATAAAAGTTAATAATAATAAGAAGAATTGAAATGTTTGGAAACAAACATGAAACAAACATTCGTTCCCTTACAGCTATGTGCCAGGCCAGGGAGTACCCTGTTCACAACAGGGAAAGATTCCAGTCGACACTATTCATACACAAAAAGTAGTATTGTCGTATCGCTGTATACTAGGATGTGTGGAAACCGGCACTTGCAGTACGCAAAATAGAGTCCCCGTATACGCGTACCGTATGGTGTAGCCCGCGCACTAAAACTAGTAAAAGTGCCGGGATAGCAACACAGGCGCGAAGCTGAGTCGAATGACATGTCACATGACGTCAGCATGCATACTGATGTATGCTAAGCATTCATTCGCTCAAGCATATTCGGTGTATAAGCCGCAGGGGCGATTTTGGTCCGATGTTTAGCGAAAAAAAGTGCGGCTTATACCCCGGAAAATACGGTAACTTACTTTTGCTTGGGAGGTTGTGATGGCAAGATCAAAGGAGGCACCAAAGAAAAATGATCGCGACTAGCGCTTTGAATCGCGATGTTTTCGAATTTTTGGGAAGTGGGAATCTGGCCATTCACTGTCTGTGTTGCCAAAAGCCAAGCGCAGCGACCATGAAGACCGGAACCAGGGTTCTAGCCAGGTCAATATAGTAGGGGGGGGGCATGGGAAAAAGGTACCCCATTAACCCATTTTTCCATTGTCCAAAATTGTCTTGCCATGCAAAATGCAACATACAGGGTGAACCCCCGACTTCACCCCTCACAAATGTGCCTTTATGAACCCTCTAGTAGTGACTATCGACTGTATTTTCGTTGAATGGCGTGAAAAAACACAAAAATCGGAAAATGAGTAGGGGGGCGGCACTTTTTCACCGGGGGCGCGCAAACGGAGTAGGGGGGTGCTGCGCCCCCTACCCCCCTTTGGCTAGAACCCTGCCGGAACTGTGGTAGGGGCAACTGACATCCTGGAGAGCGTGACAGGCACGCGTGCACGGCAGAGGAGTATGAGCCACATGAGCGTCATGCTGAAGAAAAAAAGTGTTTTTGATGTGATGCGCCTGGCGGAAGGTTGTTGTTCCCTGCTTGGTGGACCTAGCAGCAGCATTACTAGAGTCGTGGTCAGCGTATCCAGCGGAGCGTATGACAGCTGTCTGGAGAGGCCTGTATGCCTCGAAGGCTTTGTTGAAACACACTGTGGCGACACACAGGGCACACTGCCCACGGTTCCTTCAAGGACCGAAGTGACTGCCACAACTGTTGCTTTCCCATTGCTGCCATACGACAGCCTGAGAAAGCAAGGGACACTCCAGCCTACGCCAGCAGCTAGACAATTGCAAATGCCAGCTCATGTAACGGCGCGGCAGCTCGAGTGATGCAGAGTTTAATGAACTCTGGACCTGTAAGAGTGTGAGTGCAAGAACGTGCTCCTTCGCGGATTTATTTCGTGCATTTTGCTTACCTTGCTTCTTTTCTTCGACTCGCTTCACCTGATTCCATTGCTGATTTTTTTCTTGTGGCGGAGAGTATTCTTGTATCATGCTTCCTCACTATGCCTACTGGAAGTTTCACAGAGCGGTAAAAAAAACTCCAGTTCTTAGTGACAATAGATAAGTGACAATTGCGATGAGCCGGACCAAGTAGTTGACTACAGAAGAAGTTGTTTCACACGACGCACGTTTCGCCGTGTGGTTCGTGACGGCTCATCAGGTGTGCATTTTGAAACTCGGATGTTGAGCCATAAATAAATGTAGAAAGGAAAAGCAACTATGGATACGAGTCAAGAGTAACTCCCCATCACTGTAACTGGATACTATATACAGTCAGAAAGTGCTATAACTAGGCACAAAACTAACAAGAGTACTGAGAGATGTGTTGAAGCTAGGTGTCAGGACGTCGAATGTCTCAGTACTCTTGTCAGTTTTGTGCCAAGTTATCCATTATTATGGCCTTTTCCTTGCCTTTCCTTCTTATCCCATCTGACTATGCTTGTTGCATCTTCCAGTGAAGAAATAATTGCAAGAAGAAGCAAAGAAGAAACGAAAAAAGAAAAAAATCTTGTCAAAAGCCGGATTCGAACCCACATTCCCTGTAGAAAAAATATTTTATGTGTGCAATATTAAAAGAGATTGTCGTGTTCCGCTCTTCAGTGAGTATTTTGAATAATAAGAATCCTTTAAATTCCATTAACTCGTGGTTGTCTGGCCATATCTGCATCTATTATACTCTTTATTGCACTCATAAAATTGCTTTCTCCACGCCGACTCTTTAAAAAATATTTTTGTGTAATTTAAAAATTGACAAAAAGGCGATAATGGAGAAGTTGCGCACTACGTAAAGTTGAGCAAATTTACCCGTGAATTCGTGCGTTTGCACTCCACTTACGGAGAATTGTCTACGCAGAGTACGTAGATAGGGCTCTGATAACGTAGCTTGTCCGTAAGTGGATTGGAGTACACATTTACGATTCTCTCCCCAGGTTGATCCGTTCGTACACTGCAGCGCTCGGAGTTGCCAAGGGCAGCCACGTGATTTGAAAATTCCGTACGGCGGAACACATATCCGCATGCAGTTTACGTAAGACTTTCCATAGATTGACTACATTCTTTATACGGAACCTCTCTAGTGTCGCGATCTACCTTAATCCAATTTTTTATACATCAAGGCTACTCACTCTGCGGACAGAACAGTTTCGTGCTTTGCTGACGCATCAGTGCAGCACAGAGAAAATGAGACCGACCCAGATAGCAATGAAAATTAAATCATACTGTTTACATCAAGGCTAGAATATTGGTCCGGTTTGAGCTGGGCAGGCTCTGATGCCCTTGGCCACAAATGCACAAACTTAATCCAAGGTTAAACGTAAGTACTTCCTCCGCGTCATTAAAATTGTCGCTTCCCAGAGCGATTTTTCAAATCTCTTTTTTTCCACTCGAAGCAATGAAATCGGCTAGAACTTGATGCAGAGCATTGTCGACAGACTAAGCTTGAGTTTGTGGCCTCTCGATTCGCTGCACTTGCGGCTGGGGTTGAAGTCTCCATCAGAATTTGAGGCAGACCCTTCAGCACCCAACAAGATGCTGAACAAGAAGTGCTTTCAAATTCTGGTCATAAAACTTCGTTTTTAAGCGATCCATGGCTCCAGGTGGCAGGCGATGACAGCAAACTCGCATTTCTGAAGTTCACTGTAACAACCTTCCAGTGGGATTGGGTAAGCAGTTTCACAACTTCTTTCCTTGACAAGCGCTTCGCTGATTTGGTTGGTGTGTCAGACCTGCTACCTTTGCAGCAACATGCGCTACACGCATAGTGTTTATTCAGGAATTTCAGAACAATTTGCCCTTGTCATCGTCAACTTCAGCATTTCAAACTCAGGAGAAATACCAGGATTCTTATACCGGAGCTTGAAGTCTTGACAAATGTCCACGCGAATGATGTGTACTGGCACGAACTCCAGAAAAAAGAGAAGCACTCTGGGACAAAATAATGCGGAGTGTAATGAATTTTTTTGGTGCGGACTAGAGTCCACCACAGCTTCCGTAGCAAATACACATTGTGTAGGAAGGGTCGTAGCAATGTTTGAACACAGAAACCAGCGATTCCGACAGACCAACTACGACAAGCAAGTAACAAACTTTGCGATGTGCGAAGCGACCATTTTACTGACGCAGAGGAAGTGAGCGCATGCACATACACCAACGATCTTCATTCTCCAGACAAGTGTAATGATTATACTCACATTCACAAAGTACAGACCGTCCTTGTGGAGTGTCCCAGTCTCCGCGGTGTAATATTGTTGTCTTTTCAATGGAGTAGGCAGATCTTTGGTCATTAGCTGCCCATATATATCGAGAACTAATCTGATTGCGTAGATGGGACAGAAAGTTTCTAAAGCATCCCTGATCTTTACCGGATACATTGAACATCTTTCCACCTTGATAGTTGCACCTCATCTCTGCTGCTTTCCAGGTATGTTCATTGAAGGGATGAGCAAACACTCTGACTGTTCTATTAGAGGTATCTTCACAAACAATGCTTAAACGAGCTGTACAACAAAGTGAAGGAGAAGGATCATTCACTCAACAGTTAACATATTTACCAGAGCAGGTGAACTCTCTGCATAATTGCCAACAGGGGAATGCGGGGGAATGCGACTGAAATCTTAAACTCTGATGTTGAGCCAATCATAAATGAACAATTGAAAGTAAAACATGGATCCTAGTTATGAGTAACTGCCCGCCGTTGCAACAATAACAATAATATTATAATTATATGAGGCTCATTATATTGTATGAGGCATCGGCAGCGAGAACCGGGTCCTGGCGATTTTTGAAAATGCCAATATTTGCGAAAAAGCGAACCAACGTCGTTTTTTAATCACCGTGGTCAAAGCGAAAAGACTTCTAGCGCTATCGCTTTGAAAGTGCCTTCTTCTTGGTGGCTTCATTCAAATCTGTTGTTGTAGTTTATCTGACAAACACTTGGGACGTCCAGGTAGACAGTTTCAGCTGCCATGGAGGCGTTTGCACTCTGGGTAGCGCCCGCAAAATCATGCGGTCGAAAAGGGCGAAACAAATAATTTCTTGGAGGAATGATCCCGTCACAAATTCTTGATGGAGCATGAGCGACTAGAATATTTGGCAACTGGATCTCCATGGATACTCCGCTGCCTGCCATAGTCCACAGCAAGAAGAATCAGGTGAAAAGTGACGAATTTTTGCTTAGATGACAAGCCATCAGCGGAGGCAGTGCAGACGATGAGTTTGAGAGCTCCGTGACACAAAGTGGCAAAGCAAACAGCAGCGCTGAGAGTGCCGAATGATATTCAGCATTCCGTAGCAACTATTCACAGCTGGATAAGTTGGTGAGATACGGAGACAGCCCTGAATGAACTAAACCTTACTTGATCCAAGATGGTTTGTGAATAACAACATTGTTGGAAGTATACAATCATGTACATGCACGCTTGCTGTGCGCATTAAATTTGTCAGAGTATAATGCACATACAGTAAAACCTGTAACTAAAGACCACCGTGACTAGCGACCAGCCTGGTACTACAGTAAAACCTGTAACTAAAGACCACCGTGACTAGCGACCAGCCTGGTACTACCGACCACTTCGCCAGGCACGGAAGGTCTCACATTCAAAATGCACTGGGACTAGCGACTACCTGCTGAACGCGGCCAGCGACCGCCTTTTCCTGTCCCAAAGACAATTTTGGACCCATAACTAGCGACCGCAATGTAGGAAATCAAATGTTGCTCGAACTCCTGCTTGAAATTTTGCTGATTTTCCATGGTCCTGAAAGGAATCTTTCGATACTACAGCTGAACAAATGAATGCAGGTAATTTTGGCTGTGGAGTCGGTGTGGACTGCACTAGACCTGTCAAAATTTCAAGCGCTGTCAAGAATAAACATGATAGGAAACGTCTTGGAGAGCGCATCAAAAGCGCTCTCTGATCGACGTTAATACTCGGAGGAGAAACGAAAACTGGGCGGCTCTGTCACCCCAGTCATACAGATCGATTGACGATGGTATCAAGGAATCCAGAAACAAAGCAGCACCACAAGGTCCTGATGCTGAAGGATCGCGTTCAAGCAATCGAGAAGTCACCACAAGGACAGTCCGTACGATTGATCGCATGAACAAATTTGAGGCCCAGCGCAAAACAAAACTTCCCCAGGGAACGTTTGACTCCTGGCTTCAGAAGTAGCAGCTAAATTTGAAGTCTGCAAAAAATTAATCTTCTCTCTCTCTCTCTCTCTCTCTCTCTCTCTCTCTCTGTCTGTCTCTCTCCATCTCTCCGTCTTTCTCTCCAAGTGTTGTTTGACCTGAAATAAGAATGACATTGCGCAAGTCCTGGGGAATTGTATTAGCTGCATTTTGACATACATATCATATAATGGGATCTATACTGTAAAACGACAAACTTTCGCGGCGGCTAAATTTAGCGTTTTGGCAAACTGGACCAGTAAGCGGCGATTAATTTTAGCGATTTCTACCTTCCACCGAAAATCAAAGAATTTTATTTTACGAAGCCTCGGAGTGCTGGGCGCAGAGTGCATGAAGAATGAGAGAAGAAATCAAAGAATGAAAGAAGGAATCAAGGAATGTAAGAAGGAATCAAGGCATCAAAGAGAACCATAAGGTAAGTACTAGTACTGAGAGAAAGAATGGCACGTTCGAAGAGGGATCATCGGAAGACTTTCTCTTCGAACTGCTGAGCCACTGCGATACTCATCGCGATAAAATTCAGAAGACTTCTTCGAGCGGTACAACACTAAAATCTACGCAACAGCAAGCTGGCCAAGCGCTCCAAGAAATTCAACAACACTTTCCACAACACTGAGACATTCTCCAGTCGATCGTTTTATTCTCTTCTGGTTCAAGTCGCCGTACTCCAACGACAACTAATGTTGGTTACTTGCAAGACTGGTGTTGGTGCGTAACCCGTCGTTGCAACAGCTGCGCTCTTTGGTTGGACATGCGCACGTTCTCGTACTGTACAGATCTGTTGCAAAACGATCGATCATCGACGCATCGATCGTGTAGTACAAATTTCATATTCGTGTGTCAAACTTTCGCGATTCGACCTTGCTCGCGAAAGTCGCGAAAGTTAATCGCTCGCGAAAGTTTGTCGTTTTACAGTATATGGTCACGTGGTGCAAACCTCTAACTAAAGACCACCTGCTCCTAAAGACCGTTTTTGCTGGCACCAAGGGGTGGTCGGTAGTCACAGGTTTTACTGTATCTACGAGTTGCTGTGCGTAGGAAAGCAAGACATGCTTGGTGGATGTGCGTCAGGCGAAATTACTGGTCAGTCGGCGACACGCATTTTTTCACAAAAAAATTGCCGTTTCACCTGCTGGGAGAGTATGCGTGTACTCGAGTCTCATCCTGAGCACGTTTTTTTCTCCTTTTTTCAGCTCCAGTATAGCTGTATTTTTCATTACAAAGCCGTCCTCGATTGTTGTGTTCGTTGTTCAAACGAAGTGGACCTTCAATCATGAAGGCAGAGGACATAGGAGCCTGATTGGAGTTTCTCGTGGCATAGGACGGCCACACAGAGACACTTTGGGATTTTCTGAATATAAAATACCGTACGCAGGATGCTGAGATCAATTTGGGCGATATCAAATTGTTTGTGATCTACCACATCGAGGAGAACGGGATCCAAACACAAGTTTACCGACGGTTAGGCTGCCGACCTGACTGGACAAATGATCCCTGGCTTCACCAGACGCCAGAAGTCGGACACCATGTCCTTTGCCGCGACGTCCATCTCCAAAAAGAACTCAATCTTCGTTGTGAAAAGGCTTGAAATACTCAATATTCAACCGAGATTCGCGGTCTCACCCTTTCTCAGATCGAATCATTTTTTGTTGTAGCAGTTGCAGGGAAGATCCCCGCCATTACTTCAACAGAAGATGGCTCCAAAGCATGCCTGGAACAAGCCATATCGAGGTTGCAAGCCACCCCTCTCAGCACTTTTTTTGAAGAAACTCGAAATTTCAATGGTGGAAGATATACTATGAAGAGAATTTCAAATAGTATGTTTCGCGGAGTGATCGCTCAACCTACGTCTTTCAAACTTTGCAGGATGGTTCAGACGTACATGCTAGGCATGGAACCACAGATTATCATAGCTGACACACAGAGTCACACACACAGCAGATTCGTGTGCACAGATACTAAATTAGTGGACGTCGTCATTCTCTTCCTGCTGATCTCAAATGTACTATGACGTGCTATTTCGCCTGACGTGTGGCTTGGCCCAGCATGCATGATCTAGTTTGAAAAACGTCAGTTGCTTGGCCTCTTTCTGTTCGAAAAGTCTGCATCCAACACCAGACCTGCATATGACGGGTTGAGTTTTCAAGTTCATAGCAGCAAGGTAAGGAGTAAGGAGTCGTAGTGTAGAATGGTAGCGTACAGTAGGTGATATTTTGAGTAGCTGTCACTCCCTGATCTACTCTCTGCTATGGACGAGCTGGCAGGTGAACCCTTGAGACTTCTGTGCAGTCTACCAGGCATCGAAGCCAATGTGCTCAGCTTGCTCCAGCAATTATCGGCGCATATTAGTGAGTCAAAAGATCGAGAGGAGCGCGGAAACGGCGTCTGGATGAGCTATGTGCACATATTACAGAATTACGAAGCGAACTGAGTTCCTTCAGGCCTTCCGTCATTGCCCATGTCGACCACCAGCAACAAAATTCAAAAGGCAAGGAGAGTGCAGGTAGTACTAGTACTACGAACAAGAGTAGCCGTACCAGTAGTAGTGGAAAGTCGAAGCCGAGCGAAAGTGCGAGTGCAAAGCTGCCAAAGAAGTAAAGCATGTGGGAACGCACACTGAACCCCGTACCCGTAGTGCTTCCACACCCCAGCAGACAAGCCAGACAGTGCCCTCAGTGGGCACGGACTCTGACGCAGAGGATACTGTACTCTTCCCTGTGAAGCACGAGTCAAAACCCGTTTTCAGTACCATCACGGACGGGTCTTGGAAGTTGGTCTCTGCAGGACCACCCAAGACCAAGCGCTTTGTTGCCTTCGTGCGTCAATATCTCCCCCAGATTGCACAGATGAGCGCCTAGTACAGTTCATCGTGGACAAAAGCGAACAGGCAATGCCAGGCTCTTCCATTCCCGTGCATACATGCAGTGTACATGTAGCAGAGAGTGGACATAACAACAACAGAGACAAGACAACAGAGGCGATGATAGCAATGCTACGGCAGAAGCCATAGCAACTTGTGCTGGGATTACACCATTCAACAGCTTGCAAGGCTGAAGAATTGACCGTCACTATTCAGCCTGGTCTACACCATACAGCTATTTGGAGTGACATTTTCTGGCCAGTGAATCCCTATTTTTGGTCTTTTCATTTTTTTGTCCCCCGCACACACATCACACCACATACTCCGGCATGCACTGGCTGTTGGTAACCACCCAGGAGAATGAAAGAAAAGTCAGGAAGAGTCTGAGAAAGAGAAGAAAGACGTGTGTGACCATAATCGTCGGGAATCGAACCCGCAATCTATCGATTGGAAATCGCTGCACATACCACTGCACCATATGGGACACACACACACACACACACACACACACACACACACACACACACACACAAACACACACACACACACACACACACACATACACACACACACACACACACAAACTTCATGGTAGAGAAATGTACATGTTCATACGCTGAAACTTTTGAAACAACTTGCAACGTTGCTGGCACATGTATGCAAATTTTTTAGCTTACCCTCACAAACCTGTTTGGTCGGACCTGCTGGGTCTTCACTTCCAAAACGATCAATACGTGGCCATTCACTCTCATATTTACCCAGCCAGGCAAATCCTGCTACCTGATTTGTCATCATATACTGCCTAAGGCAATGGCGATTGGACGGCAATGCCAGACCAAATACCTTACATTTATCTGTCATCCGTTGTTTGTCAGCGTTTGGGGTGAGTTTATACAATGGTATCTCCAAAAGGTAAGTATTTGGAAAACATTTCAGTGGGTCATTGAACCAATCTGCACAGAGAAAAAACAATGAAATTATCAAATACGCAAGAACATGCCTTTACACTCTATTATCATTTAAAATCCTCTACTGACGTGCTCAAAGGCGCAAAACAGCTATAATGGTGCGATAATGCTTCATGCATTGGTTCCGCTAAGAGTGCATGGTGGTGACGGGTGGAGTACATAATGAATACATTGGCCAGACATTTAAAATAGCAATGGATCAAATATGGTCCTGTTGCGAAACAAAGTAGGAAAGGTTCGGTTCCAGAATGTTGCCTTGTCATTTTTTGTTCCCCTATTCTCTTTCAATCACAAGATTTTACTGTATTAAAATAAATTCGATAAGTACTGCTGGATGGTAGCAGCTCTGTCATATTAATTTTGTACAAGCTGCACTACATTCCAGGGCCTCCCCAGATAAACGTCATGCTGCCACCAACCAAGCCCCCTGCCATAGTTAGCTTGCGCACATGGCAACATCAGATGTACAATGGCTTCCAGCTACAGTCGACACACCCTCGCAAAGACCCTGACTACCTCCTGCGATCCTTCCCCTTCTTCACCATCACACCCTGGAACAACCTGCCTGCAGACCTCCTGCTTCACGAACCTCATTCAAGGTGCCTCCAAACATTCAAGGTCAACATATGTAAGAATCAAATCCAAAAGAGTTGGCTGTAGTTCACACAGTACCTGTGACGATGATAATTATTGAGCCCCACTTACATCACAACTTTCATTGCAATGAGCATGGTTCAGACTTGATGCCTAGCTATTGCCCAGGACTCCAGGCGGCTATCCATTGCGATAGGCGGTTGGAGTCACGGGCAGAGACAACCAGACGATGAATTTGTCACGGACGCATTCACTGCAAACTTGACGGAAACAGCGCTGGCGCCGATCACTGGGTCCAGAACCAAAATTTTCCGAGATCTACCATTTTTCAATGGCGACGTGCACGTTCAAGAGACACTACACATAATGTCAATTGTCAGCTACAACATAATAATGATTATTTCCGTAGCTATGGAAAAGACGTTACTTCAGTAACGTGTGGCGCTAGCCAGGGTCCACACAGCTTTAATTTGGTATTTGTGTGTTTGTTTGTTTGTGTGTTTGTGTCACACCTGGCGCTATCCCGTATCTGTCCCGTACCGTACCGTACCATCAAACACAGCTGGCCACATACAGCTGGCCGCAATATTCAAATAGGGCTTTCAAACGCAAGATCATAGCGTGAAGCAACTTGGAAGAATGAGTATGAATGCGAAGTGTATGGGGCAATCCATGTAGGGCGATAGTGCGGGTTCGAATCCCAGGTTATGCCTGAAAAAATAGGAGAATTGAAAAATGTAGAACATCCTTATGCTTTTTTGCCTAGGTCATCAAGGCAGTAGACGGTGTCATATTACCCTCGACCGTACGTGTCCCGTACCTGTCCCGTACCGTACCAGCAAAGACGGCTGGCCACAATGCATATTCAAATAGGGCTTTCAAATGCAAGATCATAACGTGAAGCGACTTGCAAGAATTAGCATGTATGCGAAGTGCATCGGGGGATGCATGCAGGGCGATAGTGCGGGTTCGAATCCCAGCTGCACTTGGCTTTTCGCTGCAGTAAATGTGTCCATTTCAAGACACATTCACTGCAGCGAAAAGTTCCCCACTTTTCCATTAAAGTCGTACGAATCACGATGCCACTGGCGCTAGTCGCGATGGTGTTTTCTTTCTGGTCTCCTTTGGTCTTGCCATCACAACCTCACGAATGAATGTGAGTTAAATTTATATTATAATTTTTTTTCACGGCTGAAACAATTATACCGGTAACTCGCATATCGATCGTTAAGAGTGGAATCGATAATCGCTAGTGTTCAAAACGAGTGCTAACGATTCATTATGCATGCATATTAGTGACAGTATTCTAGCCCTTGCACTCCATCCGATAGTGAATACGAGTACAATCATGTACTTCAAAACGGGGTAAAATTGATTTGTGGCTTTGAAAGAGATCGGGAGAGAAGACTTTGTGTTTTTGGTTCATTTGTGTGAGAGGTTGGAGATAAGAGCAGTTGCCAGATGGTAATGACAAGATTTTTTGCTCTAGAAACAACATGAAATTCTCTAGTTCATGTTGATAAAACCAGCCAGATTTCCACAGATGTCAACAGTGCGGTGCCACAAATTTCTAACGTACCAAAGGTATCATGGAATTTTTTCATAAACTGGTGTGCGAGGTACACGAGTAGAGCCGACAAGAATCGATAAAACCAATATATCGACCGTTAATGATATTGTTTGATCGTTAGGAGTTATTGAATGATCGTTTCAGCCCTATTTTTCTTATTTTGTTATGGGGTATTCACACGACAGGCAATTTCACATTTTACAGGGAGTGACATACGAGAAAAGTGACTGTGTGGATTCACACAGCTGCACTCGACGACAGACACGTTTGCATTTTTGAATGCTTCACCGACCAGTAGCCATGGGTATTTCAAATTTTCAAAACACATACACAATAATTATCATGCTCTAAAGAGCCGCGTAAAAAATCAAGTCTTGTTTCGCGCTTTTTGGTGTAAATGTACTCGTGCACGCCACGATTATCGTGAAAGTAGGCCCCCAACTCGCTTTCACTTTTCAGCCATTTTCAGGCACTTTTCTCGTTCACAGGTAAAATACCATAGCAATTTTCCGGTGTACGTGGATTTGCCTGTCGTGTGAATACCCCATTAGGGATTTCCCAGCAGGCAATAGGGAGGTTTCGCTCTACATTACGTATGAAAATAACGTAGGAACTGCACGGAATTTTCATACGTAAAAATCAGAGCTGCTGGGTTTCGCTCTACGTGATTTATCCACGACTGCTAAACACGGGTTGTTGCTTTGGAGACACGTAGGCTGCATGCGCCCACCGCATGCACCATGAACCGAAACCGCGTTTTCCATCTTATTTTGCACGTGGTGTATGGTGTGTGTACCTTGTGTTTCACGCGGCTTGAACGTTGCCATGGACAAATGCGGAAAATGCGAAAAATATTTCAAAAATTCCTTCGGAGGACCCAACGTAGGAAAGAGCTTTCCTACGGAAATCCGTAGAGAGATGTACGTATGAAAGCTGCCCTCGCTCCCCGGCGCGTACGACATACGGATTTTCATACGTAATTACGTAGAGCGAAACCTCCCTAATGTTGCCTTTTTACTGGGAACCCTAAATGTGACTTTGTGAGAGAGCAAAACAAAGCAGGCGACCCGGCCAGGCGACAAGATGGAGGCAGCGCATTCCACTTGTCCGCACCACGATACGCAATGGAATGGAAACCATACCGGGAGTGGCAGGCAGGCAAGACAAGAGCAGCAGTAGCTTGGCCCCGGGTTGTGGCAGCAGTATGTGGGCCAGTGCAGCGGGGGGCGAATAGGAGGCTGAGAAGTGGGCTAGATAAACCATGCAGACAGCGAAAGACAAAGACGTATTGTATTGCTTGAAAGTTAAGCGTTGCTCTAGTGTGTAGATCTTGGTGTAAGCGTACAGTGTCTCAGTGGGAGTTCTGCGGTCAAGGGCAAATATTCTTTTAAGACTAGTACTGTGTTATCAGCTAGTTGTATGAACGGCGAGATAGACAGTTAATGTAGACAGAACTAGCATACTCAAGAGTGGATTGAATAGTGGATAGATAGAAAACACGACGCGCTCTGTGGTTCAGGTTCTGCCTGGCATGCTTGTAGGCTCCGACCTTCTGCTTGACGGCAATGCAAACTCGCTCTACTTGAGCATCGAATGCCAAGTGCTCATCGACAATGAGGCCCAGGTAATTGGCTGTGTGCGCAGGGTAGAGAGTGGAGTTGCGGCATGATATGGACACAGTGGTGGGTAAGGGACTAGTTGGGCGACGTAATAGTAGAAATTGTGTCTTATCAGGGTTTTAACCCTGATGAGACACAATTTCTAAAAGAATCAGTCCCTTCCCTGTAAGGTACCTGTCCAGAGCAGCAAGGTCCGCAGTGAGACGCTCCAACACAGTATCACGGTCACTATGCCGGATTAGAGGACCACCTACCTGAATAGGCTAAACTCTCAGTATATGCCGACGACACCACGGTATATACGTGTATCACAACCCGAGCCAATATCCCAGATGGAGTCGCAACGCTCCAGCAGGCTGTTGACGCACTTGCCGACTAGGACACCCTCTGGCGAATCAGGTTTGAGCCGACAAAGTCACAAGCCCTCACGATCACCCACCGACGATCCCACCACCCAGTTCCCTCTATCACATTCTAGAGGACAGACGTACCTGAGGTGGATCAGCTCCGCCTGTTAGGAGTAACATTTGACAGCCAGCTATGCGTCAAGACCAGGCAGGCACAGTGGGTTGGTCAAAGACCATGATTGAGATACGAGAGGTACCTGGTTCAAGTCCTGCCTGGGAGCGGTTTTTCCAGCCGTGCTGCTACCCACAGTCAACTGGGAACTTGTGGCCAGGCACAAGGGGTACATGGATGCAGCTAATGGGGTCGTTCTCGGCACTTGTGCCAGTGGTTGTGAGACTTATCCACTCACCCCCACCGTTAGGCGCTGCATCTGCCGCTAGGATTTACCGGGTGTTAGCGGCCGTCGTGAGTTCCCTTCGGGAACGGACACGATAATTTACTTACTTACTTACTTATGCTTCAAGCAGCACATACGGTCCCTCGCAATACGCAGTGCGCAGCGACTCTGCTTCTTCCGCAAGGCTGCCATGGCTCTCAACCCACGATGCCGTGCCGTAGTATACCGTGGGTTTGTTCGGCCGATCCTGGAGCATGAAATGCTGGTATGGATGAGCGCAGCACCCTCCACACTAGCCAAGCTCACAGCCATCCAACGTAGGGCACTCCACGTCATTGGTGATGGCTGCTACCTGCCCAGCCTGGACATCCGTTGCTCTGTTGCTGCTCTCTGCTACCTGTTCAAGCTCCACTATCTGACTGGCCCTGCCATGATCACAGCCCTCCTACCCCCGCCAGCTCCAGCCCCAGCCCCGGCCCGCACCCGAGCCAGCGTGCGCACAATTGCGAGCCACCATCCATTCCAGCTGACCAAGACTGTCCCACCTCAGTCTCGGAACAATGTCTTTCAGTCCTTCCCCCACTGTATGATTGACACCTGGAATTCCCTCCCAACCTCTATCCTCAGTGCTCACCCCTTCCAGAAGTCGATGCAGACCTTCAAGAAGAAGGTATATGACCACCTGAGGCAGTCTGACTGGGACTGGGCAACCGAACGCCTCTAGCCTCCTCTGGGATTATGCTCCTGCTTCTCCCACCCCAAGCCTAACAGCCAGACGCCCTATACGCCTCGCCCTCTTTCAGTGGCTCACTGTCGAGTGCTGAGACCAGGAGGCTGCAGGTTCTGCTGAATCGAGCAGTCCGCACTGTCTACGGTGTGCCCACGCGACACTCAGCTGAACTTTTGGTGACCCGGCTGGGAGTTTTCCAGGTGTCAGAGCACTTCCACCAGAACACCTTAGCTCTTGTGTGGAAGAGCCTACATGGTGAGACATCGCAGTCCGTCACAGAACTAATGACTCCACAAATGACCAGAGAAACCCGCCTTCAGCAGCAGGACGGACTCAGTCTTCCAGTTGCAAGAACAAACGCTGGCAAGTCGAGGTACGCCTTCAACGCTACAGGTAAATGGAACAGATTACCTGGAGACGTCCGCTCCAGCACAACTCTGGAGACCTTCAAAGCTGCAGCAGTACCCTACGCAATTGCTCGTTGACTACATGGAACAGTAGCAAATGCCATGTTTGACAATGGATCCGATTTCCAGCTGACTATCATTTCCAGTGCATACACACTTTTTTCTTTCCTTCTTTTTTTCTCTCTCTCTGTCTTTTTTTTCTTCCCTCTTAAGATCTTCGCTACCTTGTCATTGGGAAGAAATTCCCGTTTGGATTTTGCGAAGTAAAACAAAGTTTAAAAAAAAAAAAAAAAAAACAGCTTGCCGGTGATGTCAAGAAGTGCAATGCCACGCCAGTTGTGACAGCTAGTGAGGTCACCCTTCTTGGGTAGGAGCCAGTGTGCAGCCCTGACAGAAGCCATTTCAGACGTTGATGTTGTCGGTGATGACATCAGGGAGCTGGACATGTGCCTCCATGCCTTCACGGAGTGACTGGGCAAGGCCAAGCAGCTTCGGAGGAATCCCCAGATTGCGAAGCACAAGCCACAAAGCAAACCGCGGAATCAAATCATAGGCCTCAGGCAGATCGACGAAAAGCACATAATAGCTCAGAATCGTGCGCCACTGCTTTCTCCATCAGTTGTCTTGCGGTGAATACCATGTCACTAAAGCCATTGACCCTGCGGAAAAACGCACTGAGAATCTGGCAGAACATCCTCCGTTATCGCTTGCAGGCAATCCTGGCGAACACGAGCAGAGACCTTGCCGACCACATCTCGGAGGCTGATGCCACGCCAGTTATCGTAAGTCACCTTTCTATCCTAAGTCACCTTTCTTGGGAAAAGAAACGTGACTCTGCGTTCTCTGCGTTTCACCAGTCACACACGGCAGAACCTCAGGTCCATACCTCGTTGATCACATTGTGGATGTGCCCATGCACACACACACACACACACACACACACACACACACACACACACACACACACACACACACACACACACACACACACACACACACACACACACACACACACACACACACACACACACACACACACACACACACACACACACACACACACACACACACACACACACACACACACACATACACACACATACACACACACACACACACACACACACACACACACACACACACACACACACACACACATGTACTTGCTTGTACTTGCTCACTGCCAAAACTGGTCACGTGGGTCTCCCCGGGAGAGGGGAGAGAGACTCAAAAGGAATCTTGGAAAGATGACTCAATTGGCCATTGAACCACCCAACGGCCGACACCCCCTGAAATCCCCAAACTAGGGTGGACTTGAAATGATCCCACTTATGGGCTCACCACACCTCAGTAAGTGGGTTAGGACAAGGTGCAGAAAAAAGGATTGACGGCATCAGGGTATCCATCCCGGGATCCAACTGCAGGTACCCCTGCCCCCAGTGAAGGTAATACTTGGTACTAGTGTGGGTGGCTAAATCAGAGTGGATCTGATATAAGCTTCACTAGCACCATTGATTACACAAGAGTTAATCTAGCCAGAAGCAGTCCATGGTTAACAGGTATGTATACTTCAAATAGAAAGTATATGAACCCTGAAACCAACAAAGGTGGTAGGTACAACAATACACCTTCAAGCAGCCGAGCCCGTTGGCAACAGGCCCAACACTATCTGGCATAAGTGTACCCACCAACCAAACTAGCTGGCAGCACACATACACACACACACATACACACACACACACACACGCACGCACACACGCACGCATGCACGCATGCACACACACACACATGCACCATTGGACCATTGGACGCCCATCGCCGGAGGCGATGATAGCGATGCTACAGCAGAAGCCATAGCAGCTTGTGCTGGGATTGCACCGTTCAACAGCTTGCAAGGCTGAAGAATTGACCGCCAAACACACGCACACACAGATACACACACACACACACACACACACACATATGCATACACACACACACACACATATGCATACACACAGATACACACTACGATTATACTTACTCAAGGCCCTGCTGCAGGCTGCATGTGTCGTTGCATGGCAGTCGTTCCTTGCTGGCTGTCTGCCAGTCATATATGCGCACTCATCTATTCCCAGCGTTTGTACCCAGTACCTATTGGGGTCATTGTCAAGGTTGAAGGTATCTGCAAACTTTTTACGTGCTGTCAATTTTTCTTCTCCCAGTGAATCAAAGTGGTAGACTATTGATCCGCCAGAAAGAGATGAGCAAAAGGGCAAGGCTTCAGGATAAGTCAGGGGAACCTCCCGGAACAACTTTGCACTGACAGGATAGTCAGATACCCTCTTCCAGCCTGTGGTGCAGAGGAAAAACACAGAGGAGAGTAAAAATCGAAATGCGCGGAATATTCGAACAATTTCGGATTCTGGCACCAGAAAAATGAGTAAAGTCCAAGTCCAAGTGGCAACATGAGAATATCTTAAATGTTCTTACGATATAGTCAGAAGGGTTAGCAACAGCTTTCGTCCTGACCATCTATAATTTTGTCCCCACCACCGGCGTTTTCCAGCAAACCTTGCTTACCTCATCAGCAAAATATCTCCAAGCTGTTGTAGATGTTGATCTACGCCAAACCTCCGCTCATTGACTTCTACAGTCTGTTGTGGAATTATCCACCACCAGACCAGCGCAAGGATATAAGTTGGACTATAATTATTAATTTCAATTCCAAAATGCACAAGAAGTGTACAGAAGAAAAAAGCACGACCTCAACCAGGCCAGAAGCAATAAGAACTGAACACAAGATATTGAAAACCCTTCTCCTCAACAAGCTGCATCACGTACGACGCAAAACAACTGGCTGCACCAGCGCATGCATCAGCGCGTGCACCAGCGGGTGCACCAGCGCATGCATCAGCGCGTGCACCAGCGGGTGCACCAGCGCTGCACCAACGTGTGCACCAGCGAAATCAATATCGAAAGTACGTATCAATCATTACATTACGTACAACATGCGCAAGAGGGTTACTCTACTTCACCTCTCCCCCTGGTGGTATGCCAAATAAATTACCATCACAAATACTAAATAGCGCCACAAAGCAAAACTAACGGAAACGCTGAGGGGGTGCAAGCGAACCACGCTGACGAAGGCCATATGGGCGAAACTGATACGGAGCAGGATCATCGGCAGGGGCTCGAAGCGACACATAATTAGGATCACGGGGATCAAACCGAGACCCAGCATCAGAGACAGCACTCGCAGCTGGCACATCAATAACAGCAAGCACGTCAACAGCAGCATCTGCAGCAGGCACACCAGCAACAGCACCCGCAACAGGCACATCAGCAACAGCATGGCGACTGGCCTCCGTCGAAACGCTCTTGGTTGGGCTCGCAGCAGCACACGGCTAACAGTGGCGCACAAACTGCTGACATTGGGCAGCCATGTTCGGGAAATAGCACTTTGAGCGGAGGAAACACCATGTACCCTCCCGACACGCATGACCATAGTTCACATGAGCAGCACGAACGACATCGGACTCAAGTGAACTAGGAATAACAGGAATGACGACTGCATCATTGGGCGGCAACTTCACACTTCGACACAGCATACCATCATGGACTACGAGCTGTGACTTGACCTTGACAAACGCAGGATCAGTAACTGGGTCACCATCGATGACTTGCTGGCGAGTCGAAACAATCAGAGGATCTGCATTCTGAGCAGCAGATACTCTGTCCAATGAGAATGGACCAACGGTCACCACCGCAGCGGTGACGGACGGTGCAATCCGAGCAAGGAGCGTCTTGCCACATCAGATCTAGCTGCTGGGAACACGGGTCAATTGATCCGCCTTGTTCTGCTGACTGCTGATCGACTGGACCTTGAACGTCAAGCCTGTGACAGCGACGAGATCAGTGATAATCTGGAGACGGCGCTGCACAAGTACCTGTTGTAGGCCACTGACGCGAACACGAGACACATTGCCTAGCACCGATTGCAACCAAGCAGCCACAGTCTTGGAATCGGTGAATATCGTGAGCTCCTTCACTTGCCACTGCACGGCAAGGTTCAACCCCTTGATCACGGCGTCAAGCTCAGCGATGTTAAAGGGGAAGTATACCCTAAAATCAAATTTTCACCAGTTGTAGTCTTCTGGGTGTTGTAGTCTTTTGGACGCTGAGGCGACTGGTTTTGGTCCGAAAAGGCTGCGATGCAGCGTTCCTCCTTTATTCCCAATCGAACATGGTTGAACAAGCGGTCACGTGCTCCTGGGTGCCCAAATCACCTGGTCACCGCGCCAGCAGGCGACAACTTTCACACCAAGGTTCAACTCGAGTGACAGGACTGCACCCAAAAAAGGTCAAACAGGCTAGTAAGTTGTACCCTGCAGGCACGGTGACCAGGTGACTGGTGTACGCAGGAGCACGTGACCGCTTGTTCAACCATGTTCGATTGGGAATAAAGGAGGAACGCTGCATTGCAGCCTTTTCGGACCAAAACCAGTCGACTCAGCGTCCAAAAGACTACAACATATGGGCCAATCGCGGTCATCCGTGCTTTTATAAGAACGAAATGGCGCTTTTAGTGACATTTTGCATACAAATCCCCATCTAGTAGGGCGCAGTCACCCAGTTTCGGTGGAAGTGCGCGAGTTCGATTGGGATTCAAGTAGGAAGGGAGCGTCTCAGCTTCCTCGGACCAAGACCATTCGACTCAGCACCCCGAAGACTACAACTGGTGAAAATTTGATTTTAGGGTATACTTCCCCTTTAATGTGTCGCCGGTCGTCCTCCTGCCGCAGCCAGCAGCCATCCTCGACAATCATACCATCAGCCTGAATGACAGCACCATGTGCGATGTCCGAAGCATCACACCACAACGACCACTGTGCGGCTTCAGGAACTGACCACACGCCTTGTGCAGGGTCATCGGTGAATGACTTCTGCACAACAAGCGACGACTTCATGAGACACTGGATCGTCCCATCCAGGCTGAAGGCTAGACAGACGCTTCAGATAACTGCACGCTGGGCGCAGCCAGGAGCCGACGGGATAGTGGCTGATCAGCTTGCCACACCACTTGAAAATCTCGCGCCGTGTGACGGCATCCGGCTGACAGGTCGGCATGACGTCACCACGACGCTTCCACCTCACTTGGCCATTGCAGACTCTGACAGCTGCAGACCCAGTACCCTAGCAGAGACGACTGGCTCCGCTGGCTTGGTGGGCAACCCGTACTGCGACAACTGATCGGTGACAGCACGCAGACGAGGCTTCGGAACATACAAATCGTCGACATAGTTGTCCACATCAGCATACGCACGGAGGACCCACTTGACGATTATGTCCATGAATTTGGGCGCAATCGATAGACCGAAGCCCATCCTCTCCCTTGCGAACAGCTGGCCCTTCCAGACGACCGTTTGGAACTTGGCGAGAGCTGGCGCGATGCGGATGTTGAGGTAAGCCTTGCTGATGTCCAGCAACACGTGGCTATCGGCGTTGCCAAGAGACCTCCACTGACGCAACTTCTCTTGGCAAACAGGCACGTCCAAACATGGATGCAACACAATCAACTTGTTGAGTTGCCGGTAGTCCAAACACGGGCGGACAGGGGTGGACTCCTTGTGCGTCTGGGCCACCGCCAACAAGGGCAACACAGCACCAGGTTTACCATGGACTGCTTGGTCCTGGGGTGCCAACCATCATTGCGGATCCACGTGTCCACTTCCTAGCAGAACTGTGACTCCTGGTCTGTTGACAGGCTATGCCGGGAATATTCACCAATGCCTGACCCGACTGGACGCGTGGGGGGTTTGTCTTTCCATGCCCACTTAAGCTCCCAGTAGCCAACATCAGCGCGCCAACGAACTGACCCATCCGCAGTGGTCAAAATGACATCTGCCCCGTCATGCTCCACGGTAACATGGCGTAGCGTCATCACTGCGCTCGTCCAAACTGGGCACATCTGCGGAAGCTGAAGCTGCTTGGCCGAAAGATGCCCCGACGAGCTTGGAGTCTGCGTACTTGAGATCGACTCTGCCATGCTGCGATATCAGGTTGAGGCCCAGAAGCACGTCCGCATTCACAACACTCAACTCCGGAAAAATTGATACAGACACAGACGAAAAAGGCAGAAATACCGTCTCGTCCACCCGCTCGACATCCAGGACAGCCGAGCCCAGTACCTTGAGTGTATTGCCGTCAACGGTGATGATATCAGGCGTTAACGTCGTCACCTCCAGTGCCAACTCCTCTGCCAACTGACGAGACACCAACGTGTGTGTTGAGCACGAGTCGATGGCAGCAACACAACGCCGAAACGCCACAGCATCACAACGCTTCACAGGCAAGAAGATCCGCGGCAAAGCTGCTGCAGGCCCATCAATCTCTGACGCGACGCAGAGATGGCCGACATCCTCACTCGCAGCTGCTCCAACACACCTCTTCCGCTGGGGGTACGCACTGCGGACGTGGCCTCGCTCCTTGCAACCATAGCAAACAGGTTCGCCGGATGCTGGTGACTTAGGTAGCTGCGGGCAATTCCGCTGAATATGACCGACTTTACTACGCCGGTAGCACAACACAGACCGCTTGCTAGGTCCGCTGCTAATAGACGACCTCGCTGCAAATGTCGCAGAACATGCACCCTGTACTGGTGCAGCCGACACCTGGGTTGTAGAAACCAACACGCGAACTTGATCCGCACACTGATCCACAGTCATACAGTAAAAGGCATGCTGGAGGCGCACCTGACATGCCAGCGCCTGCGGAATGCCGAGCAGAAACTGCTCCAGGAGCACTGGGTCACACGACTTCCCTGACGAAGTGTCACGCGCTTCAATATGACCACTCTGGCAGAGAAACCTCCTCAAGTCGGCCAAGTAGACGTCAACGCTCTCTCCCCGACGAAGAGTTCTGGCCACAAACTTCTTATACGCATCTGCTGGCTTGATGCAGAAAGCGGCTCAGAGCGCACCATGGACAACCTCCTCACTGGTCGCCTCGACGTCCGGCAGCGCACTCCAAACAGTGAACGCGTCCTTATCTAAAAATAAAGGAAAATGGTCCATTCTTTTAGCCTCCGACGTCCATTTCTGTATCCGTAACACCACGCGGATTTTCAGCAAGAACGCCTTCAGGTCGTCATCTCCTCCACGATGCGGCCGCAACAAGGAATGTCCAGCAGACGACGCCATTAAACAGGCAGTGCAATAACAAAATTAATACTCTCCGAGAACCTAACCACAAAGCGCCAAAGGTCCACTCGAAACCGGGTTTCGGTACCACGTTGTTGTGGAAGTATCCACCACCAGACCAGCGCAAGGATATAAGTTGGACTATAATTATTAATTTCAATTCCAAAATGCACAAGAAGTGTACAGAAGAAAAAAGCACGACCTCGACCGGGCCAGAAGCAAGAAGAACTGAACACAAGATATTGAAAACCCTTCTCCTCAACAAGCTGCATCACGTACAACGCAAAACAACTCGCTGCACCAGCGCGTGCATCAGTGCGTGCACCAGCGCGTGCGCCAGCGCTGCACCAACGTGTACACCAGCGAAATCAATATCGAAAGTACGTATCAATCATTACATTACGTACAACATGCGCAAGAGGGTTACTCTACTTCAAGTCAGACGTCGCTTAACCGCATGCATTCGTTTTCCACAAAAATATCCGGATAGGCGAGGGAACCAGAACATCGAACACACATACTGTACGTATGCATGACGTATGCTGTAAATTGGTAACCAACGATTTTCTTACGGACGACGAGGGATCCGGATGAAAGAGGACCGGATAAGCGAGGTCTGACAGTACTTCTACTTCTTCTGGGACTCATTCTGTGCCATGCTCAATACCACCAATAAAAGATCAAATTTGCTTTGCTTCCTTGATTTAAACTGCTGTTTCTTTTTCATGTCCACTTCATTCCTGATGATGGTCATGAAGACCAATACGTTGAAACGATACTTCTAATGCATTTGTGCGAAATGCAGTGCTCTCTTGAGTGTAGGCAGGTTGCCTGCAAACCATTCAGGTGCAATGAAGCTGCGTGAAGCGTAGTTCAATATTTTAAAAAGATCAACTTATTTTTGAAAATAGAAGTGCTGGCCAGAAGCGAGAACCTCTGGTTCGAGTCCTGGTGGTGACCGTCATTTTCTTCTTCAGACTTTTCCCGTTTGCAAGTCACCCTTGAAGGACTGAAAAGAGAAGTGCATCACGATTAGCTAAACTTGTTTAATATTCACTGGCTTGAGAGGGACGCAAATGAGAAAAGTCTGAAGACAAAATTGACTATCACCACCAGGGCTCGAACCAGGGACCCTCGCTTGTAGCCAGCGACGCTCTACCCAATGAGCTGTGGTCCAGCAGAGATCGTTCAATATTCTCTTCAGACTTCGAAACTCCCGCCTCCTGTTAATCCACATAGGCGGGTGGGATGCAGCCCTCACTGTAACCTACACACTTCATGCACAAACTAGCACGCAAGCCCCAAGTCATGAATATTCATTGGTTTGAGCAGGGCCGGAAGCAGGTTCCGCGGAGCGGTGCGGCCGAAGGGCCATCTTTAGGGGGGGGGGGTCCTCCCCCCGATTTTTTTTGGAATTTAGACGGGCAAATCCTGCACTCTGGGAGACTCCCTGTACAAAATCATGCATCAAAACTTTTTCTCCCCAGTTTTGGACGTTCCACGTAGACCGACTTTTTGTGAAGTTGGTTACCGGCCGTACCAGTGGCGCCGGCTCTGCTTGAGGGAAAGATGCAGATGGGAAAAGTCTGAAGAAAAAAATTGACAGTCACCACCAGTACTCAAACCAGGGACCTTTCCTTGAGGCCAGCGATGCTCTAACCACTTAGCTTTTGTGTACTTGTCATCCCAGCAGAGACCGTTCTACATTTTCTTCGAACTTCGAAACTCACGCTTCTTGTGAATCCACACAGGCACAGGATGTTACATTCGTCACCATGGCGATCACAATAACGACACACACTTTGCTGAGCTCCGCAGAATTGAAAGTTGATCACTGCAGAACGTCGTTATTTTCAGTTGTATTATTACCGTCACACCCTCACTCACCTCACTTGGGACTTGGGCCGCAGTTGCAAGATAGTAAAGTGTAATGTCATGCAGCAGCAGGGAGAATGAGCTCCGACGCTTGGAGCAGCCACATACTTCACTTATTGCCCTCGTGAAGTGAAAGAAGTACTTTGTTCACTGCTGTTTGTGCCGTGAGGTGTTTATTAGTAGTCCTCTCTTTTATGTACTGGAACGTGCTTCTTAATCCATACTACATTTCCCCTCCCTTCTATCTCCCTTCCATGCCTGCTTTTTCTCCAATCCCCATTTTCTTTCTGCCTTCTCCTCTTCTAAGTCGTCTCCTTGTGAGAAGGCACCATTGCCTGTTTGGTTGAACGACTAGAAATAAAAGCACAACAAACAACAACGTGACACACACCACAGAACACTCAAATGCACCAGCAGCAAATGACACTCACCGTCACAGCGGTTAGCATAGTTTCCATTGAGGCTGGTATCATCGGAGCATTCACAGCGGTATGAACCATCAGTATTGATACAACGACTGGTTTCTGGACAATCATGATAACCTTCAGCACATTCATCAAACTCCTCTAGAACAGCAAGAACAGCCATGACAATGATGACAGCCACAACAACGACGACGACGACGTTGTGCTTGAATTTATAAGAATAAAAGAGGAAGATTCAGCCCATGCGATAACATTGCATGACAATGACCAACACTTAACTGGCATGCAACTCTAGCACACTCCTCCTTATGTTATTTCTATAACTTATAACCTTCCAAGCGGGAAGTTTCTTGGAGTGCGCATCCAAAACGTGTACTTCAGCAGCTCTTTGGCCCTCTATTATTCTTATAAAGTACTACGATAATTTAATTGGCTCACCATCCGAGTTGAATTCAAAGGATATGTTCTTATTTTCGAATATAAGAGCACTCTCACTTATAAGAACATTTACTTATATGTTAATCACAAGAAAATCACAAAACCACACGAGGTTCATCTTGTTTCCATTGTACTGGTATTCACCATTAAAGGGGCACTCCGGGAATATTTTCGGTGGTGTGTTCTCTTCATGGGGGCCTTATATGGCCCCCAAGGAATGGGGAATCGCGAAAACTAGACCCAAAAAGTCGATATATGAAGCTAGGGAGGGCCAAGTTTTCTCCTCTTTTGATGGTTTTGATGACGTCACGTGTGTGATTAGTATTCAAATTCTCTGCATTTGAAGATCTTAGTTGTTTGAATTTTCTGGTAATGAAGAACGATGTTTGGTCAACATTCCCAAGCTTCACAACTGCGACCATACTCTAAGGAACCTGAAGGACCTCCTGAGGTGCCCCTGGTAGAAGCACAGCCTGATGAGAGCCAGGAAATTGGAGCGGACGACTTCACTGGTCGACAAGGAAATAACGATTGGTGTTCCTGCCAGAAATGTGGGGTGATGCAGAGGGCAGTCGATTACCTTCGCTGTCGAGAGAGCGCTGCAGCTGTTAGCATTGGCAGCCCGTTGACATGCGTTACACATCACCCCGACTTCGCGTCAGCTTGTCTAAACAAAACTGTTCTGACCATATGCCTCACGGCGTATAGAGAATTTCGGGACGTCAGGCGAAATAGCACGTCATAGTACATTTGAGATCAGCGGGAAGAAGATGACGACGTCCACTAATTCAGTATCTGTGCACACGAATCTGCTGTGTGTGTGACTCTGTGTGTCAGCTATGATATCATCTTCTGTGGTTCCATGCCTAGCATGTACGTCTGAACCATCCTGCAAAGTTTGAATGACGTAGGTTGAGCGATCGATCCGCGAAACATACTTTTTGAAATTCTCTTCATAGTATATCTTCCACCACTGAAATTTCGAATTTCTTCGAAAAAAGTGCTGAGAGGGGTGGCTTGCAACCTCGATATGGCTTGTTCCAGGCATGCTTTGGAGCCATCTTCTGTTGAAGTAGTGGCAGGGATCTGCCCTGCAACTGCTACAACAAAAAATGATTCGATCTGAGAAAGGGTGAGACCGCGAATCTCTGTTGAATATTGAGTATCTCAAGCCTTTTGACGACGAAGATGGAGTTCTTTTTGGAGATGGACGGCGCGGCAAAGGACATGGTGTCCGACTTCTGGCGTCTGTTGAAGCCAGGGATCATTTGTCCAGTCAGGTCGGCAGCCTAACCGTCGGTAAGCTTGTGTTTGGATCCCGTTCTGCTCGATGTGGTAGATCACAAACAATTTGATATCGCACAAATTGATCTCAGCATCGTGCGTACGGTATTTTATATTCAGAAAATCCCAAAGTGTCTCTGTGTGGCCGTCCTATGCCACGAGAAACTCCAATCAGGCTCCTATGTCCTCTGCCTTCATGATTGAATGTCCACTTCGTTTGAACAACGAACACATCAATCGAGGAGGGCTTTGCAATGAAAAATACAGCTATACTGGAGCTGAAAAAAGAAAGAAAAAAACGTGCTCAGGATGAGACTCGAGTACACGCATACTCTCCCAGCAGGTGAAACGCAAATTTTTGTGAAAAATGCGTGACGCCGACTGACCAGTAATTTCGCCTGACGTCCTCGTACTCGGACCAGTGAAGTCGTCCGCTCCAATCTCCTGGCCCTCACCAGGCTGCGCTTCTACCAGGGGCACCTTAGGAGGTCCTTCAGGTTCCTTAGAGTATGTCCGTAGTTGTGAAGCTTGGGAATGTCGACCAAACATTGTTCTTCATCGCCAGAAAATTCAAACAACTAAGATCTTCAAATGCAGAGAATTTGAATACTAATCACATGTGACGTCATCAAAACCATCAAAAGAGGAGACAAACTTGGCCCTCCCTGGCTTCATATATCGACTTTTTGGGTCTAGTTTTCGCGATTCCCCATTCCTTGGCGGCCATATAAGGCCCCATGAAGAGAACACACCACCGAAAATATTCCCGGAGTGCCCCTTTAATATGCACACTTGCATATGTACATATCAATGCAATGTTTGTCTCTCGCATACTTGGTCCGCGTCAGCGATATTGTCGCTTATCTTTAAGCTTTGTTTATATGTCTCCAATGCTCACTTGGCAGCCCATTTCATCCCAATTTTGGTTAGTAAGTTAGTTTACTACCGTACTGGCAATATATGAGCCCCGGCCAGCGAAAACCAGCACTTGTGTACTTGATATCAATCATCAAAATGTGACGTCAAAGTTTGGGACGCGCAGTGATCTGGCTTTTGAAGATTCTTTTTCGATCGAGTGGGTGTCTTTGTTGTCAAAGGAGTTTCAAGTGTCTTCAAATGTCTCTGGTCAATCGATTTTAGCGCTAGGTGAGAGCTCGTCACACGGAGGTTGAGTTTAGACACAGCGATGGCGACAGGTGTCGCGACAAAGACTTAGGTCCAGAGTTGTCAGCGTGAGACTCCCTGTACGAAGCGGCGCTGAAAGTTAGTTCGCGATCGGAAATATTTCTTTGGTGGCGATCTCGCTGAGTTTGTCCAGCAGTGGCGAGTCTCATATGCATAGCAATGAAGAGCCCTCATAAAATCGACACTGGATACTGGTGGCGACGATAGTCAGTGCGGGAGTAATGGCGACTGCGAGGAGAAGCTGAATGTCGACCCGCTGATCGATCCGTATTTCTACATCGACAACAATGATGTTGCAGACACTGATGGAGGACTTCTCACGGCGCAAAACAGAGCGTAGTATTATCAGTACTCTACCTTGCCAGACGACGCCAAACTGGCTGCTGCCTGTGCTGAGAAAGGGGATCCCTAAAAAGTCAAACCGGCTGAACGCTTTGGGGCAACATCTTCACGTGCTACAAAACGCGAGTATTCGCTCATATCATTGAAATACAATTATGCTGAAATCATGGTCTGAGTGAAAGTGTGCATTGGAGTGGATGTCAGTGGTATTGGTCAGTACATCTATCAGTATGGCAAGCTTTGGGACAACGCTCAAACTGCCAGCACAGAGGTCCCTGAACACAATTTGGAAGGCCAGCCATCCATCATCGTTGTGCACTCTGGTGTTGTAAAGAAGGTAGTGATGTATACGGAATATCGTCACACTTCTGAACTACTCATGCCTGCAGCACCAAGAGGGCAAGCCTGACTTGCAGTCTATTTGCTTACATGTACCTGTTCCACATCACAATCAGAAACTGTAGGATCAACTTGCATGGAGTCACTAGGCATGGATGCTGCGCCAACTGTACCGAATCTTGACCTGTGTGACTTCAAACTCTATTTCCCATGCTTTCGCTTATCAGATTGTCACAAAACTTGATAACTTGAATGATTAATAGTGTAGAATCAATTTCGAGCGAAAAAATAATTTTTGAAAAATTACACATTTTCAGGTTTCTGCTGGCTGGGGCTCATCTGTTGCCGCGTAATGCGTAACGCAGGGGGGTGCGGCGTAACGCGCGACCAGGCTAGTGCGACAAATTTTCGTTGCGTTCGTAACGCGCGTCCGGTGGGGTGCGGCGATCTTTTCATTGCAGTTTGCAAAAAAATGATGCGGCAATAGCAAAAAAATGATGCGGCAATAGCAAATAAGTGATGCGGCAATAGAAAAAAAAGGACTGCGGCAATATAGAAACCTGTGTAACGGCTCCTGTGCAGCTTTGCATGTAACGCCCTGCGTGCGGTAAACATGTGCCAATGTAACGCTTCATGGCCTCACTGCGACCATATATATTGCCAGTACGGTAGTACCTGAAAGGTCTAGCTAGATTTCGAGTGGATTTCAAGAGCGACGGGTGGGTGATTCTGATTGATACAACGCCGCATCAAAATATATTATCTTGTTACACTGTACAGGCAAGAGCAGCGCAAGCCACAAGGAAGTAATGGGCTACTCGGAATCAGCTCCATTTTTGTTGAACGGCCGAGATCACTCACCTCAGGGATCGCTCGTCTAGCTGAGATCGCAGCTCCCCTACCTCCAGCTCAACGCTGGAGTATCCAGCACATCGTGGAGATTTGCAAGTACTGTACGCGTCGTCATCGTCGTTCAAAATAAAATCTGGCAAAGAACGGCGTCTGATTTGAACCACACAGGCTGTTCTCCTGCCCTTGCGAAGTCTTAGAGAGAAGGCGACCGTCACGATCGACTTCTCTTTAGAAAATAGCCAGGCAGCGGAGAGGAAGAGAGATGAGCTTGCAAAAGCAAGAGAGTCGATCCCGAGCTAAAATATTTGTCACCAGCGCCGAGAGCAGCGACGAGGAGGACCGAAAAAAGTATGAACCCTTCATTGGACAATACATTCCTCATAGGTAGTTGTCATTCTATATCTTACTTTCCATCGTACCAAGTTGTATCACTTCAAGTGCACGCGTTGATGGCCAAAGTCTAAGTTCAAATTGTCGAAAGACAAGCGACAATATTGCTGACGTGGACCAAGTAATTATAAGACCATTGTCTTATAATCCAACAAGATGAATTCGTGAAAGGACAGAAAACAGTGACGTTTCGATTCTAAGACCATGGTTTACATGCGCGAGATTACGGTACTTGAAATTAATTTTCAAGGAAATGGATTCGAAAGCCAGAGAAAGGCCGCGCTCACCCTCTCCTGGACTCAGCTGTGCAGAATCAAGTTTTATCTGAAAGGACCTGTCACCATATCATGTCTAGCATGTCTAGGAGAAACTGTTTCAAGTTTGTTTTAGACCCACAAACAGTATATTTGAGATTGTATAGTAGACTGAGTTATGCCAGGATCAAGTTTCGTCTCCCAGACATTCATCATCATGTCATGTCAAGAAAATGCTTCAAGATGGTTTTAGACCAAATTGTGGGACAAGGGTGAGACTACCACTAACCAAAGCAAAGTATTCAGAGGACGTACAGCAGATTCTTCCCAGAAACGTACAAACATAACGTTACTCCATCAAATTCTTACCGAAACAGGCTGGTAGGTAGTGTTGAGTGACATTTCTGTCGATTAAAATGGAATCATACCAAGTTGTGTTTTGTTCAACCTGCAACACCTTGTTAGGATCATTAGTGAAGTATGAATAGTGGATGCCATCCTGTACAGATTGGGATTTCAAATGCTTTATGGCACATTCAGAAGTATGGTAACGATTCATAGGATTGAAAATTGATCCGGAATTGCACATTACCCTGGCGACGGTATAGTTCAGTTGTACAGGATGTGTCTGCACTACATAACCGAGGCACTCTACAGCAAATGCAACAAGAAGAACAACCATTGTGAGAATAAAGATATCAAAAAACCATTTACAAGAAGAGATCAATGCTCGGAGAGAATCCCGGTTGTTGAAGTCCCTAGATTACTTCCACACTGTCCTTTTGCCTGTGCACTACATTGACTTTTCAAGTAGAACTTGTCTTATCTGGCCACTTCCCATATCTGGACAACTCCCATATCCAAACACCTCCCAAATCCAGATACCTCCTACATTTGGACTCCTCCCATATCCAGACACCTCCCAGATTTGGACACCTCCCATATCCAGACATCTCCCATATCCAGACACTTCCCATATCCAGACACCTCCCATATCCAGACGCCTCCCATACCTGGGCACCTGACATTGTCTTTCCTTATTCGTTCCGAGCTGGTTATGTGAACATAATGAAAAATTAATAATAAAATAAATAAATAAAAGTAAACCTCGATCGGGGAATCATATCTCGACTGCGTCTGAAAATACGAATGGACCAAAATGTACTTCCTGTCTAACCTTCTTGTAATATTAAATTTTATAGAGATGTTGTAATAAATATAAATATAGACTACGATATGTTTCCCTCGCGCAAACCATCCCCTGAACCAGACGTAATGGATGAGGGGTGGGGAGGCGTTTTTCGCGAAAATATCAAACAAATCCCATGGCTGGTGCGCATGCTCAATGAAATTCTCTATAAGGCTGTGTTTACATGAGGCGTTTCAACCCGGGTTGAGTTCGACCTGGGTTAGAGTTCAACCCACCATGCACAGAAAATGAATGGCGCGTTTACATGACGCATTGCGCTTGACCCGGGTTGAAATTTCACCCCGGGTTGATTTCAACCCAGGTCAAGAAAATCGCACAGACGTACTTCTGTGCGTATCTCGCGCCAGATTTGAACAGCACTGTACATGCAAATTTCGCGCGAATGGATTCACGTGACCATACAGGACAGTAGGAGTGGACTTTTGGCAGCATATCAGTATTTGACCCGGGTCAACTGTCTTAATGTAAACGCTCACCTATTTTGTCTATCGTACAGACATTCAACCCGGGCTGAACTCGACCCGGGTGGAAATTTCTCATGTAAACACAGCCTTAGTATGTGGTGTCGGGGTACAGCACTCAAGAGCATGCACGCATGCACGTACACACGCGAGCGAGCACGCATGCAAGTAGAGGTGGGTGTTTCAAATAGGACATAGGTCGCAAACCGGAACGTGCTCAATTTTCACTTTCTCTCTGGGTATTTTGATTAGAAAACATGCCACAGTGAGACCACAACGTGTTTTACTCCGAGCAAAAGTTGCTGGCTCTGCCATGACCAGAATTGCCATAACACCAAAAAAAACCTGATGCTTCGCACAGCGATTTGAGTTGAAAGTAGTGGTGAAACGAATATTCTAATATTCGAAAATTCGTTCGGGTTTGTCACATTCCAATATTATTCTTTTAAGTCAAATTTGAGTATTCGTGACGTCACTTCGAATGCAGTGCATGTACTAGTACATACATGCACGCCAAACACAGTACAGTGCAGTGCGTACAGCCTGCCTGTTTGTTTGTTTGTTTATTTTATTTCACTTCACCAAGTGAACAGGCATTTCTGCCTTCTCACCAGGTCCGGAGACCTAGTTCCGACAAAATGATGAAGAGTGAATGAAAATGTAGGCATAAAATGATTATAATCATGCAGAAGGTTATAATTATGAAAGCGGATAAAAATGATTGAATCACGAGACACGGAGCATGAATTTATGGAGTATGAACACAAAGCATGCAAAAAATTATGAAAAATGTGTAAGATGATTGATCGCTTTCCTTGCATCGTATCACTTTCATGGCATGCCAAGGAAGGCCGAGAAAGTGATCGCCACTCATTTCACAGTAATTTTAGCGCAAACCAGTCCCTCAAAAATCCATTCCGAAGTTTTGTTAAAGGAGGAAGTACTAATCTCACTATAATTTTTATCTCTTATTGGCCACAGGCCATCGTGAGAATAAAGGTCTGAAACCTGAACAAGAGGGAGAGATTTATAATCGACAGCGACCTGTAATCGGGGAAATACGCTACAAAGGTTATTCCGGCGAATACAAAACCTGAATGCTGCAGGCGTGAAGCAACCAACACAGGAGAGGGAGTTAGAACATACACGTTCACGCCAACAAACCTTGTGGCAGCAGACGTATACACTATTGAGCATTAGTGCAGCCACTAACAAAATTGGTTAGCACAATCACACATGCGCACACACACACACACACACACACACACACACACACGCAGGCACAAACACATGCACACACATACACACACACACAGGCAGGCAGGCACAAACACCTGCACACACATACACACACACACGCACACACACCATTGCGCGAAATCATGCGACACCTGTACGTTTTCGATCTGCGGGATGAAGATGACGACGCCCATGCATTTGGTATCAGGGAGTAGTAAGATACTGGTATATTACTACTCCATGCCTCAAATCGTACTGTCAAGGGCATACGGGGGAGTGTAGCTTGCCATTGCTTACACTTTCCAGGGCAGGGTTGCCCCCGCTACCAATGGACGAGATTTCAGGGTCACAGCTTGCGCAATGGCTTTGTACTTTCGGAATGGCCACTCGACGTACTCAGCATAAATTCTCTATTGCATGCATGCACAATATGTTCAAATTTCGTATTTTTGGTGACTTTACCACCGTCATGGAGGCTGGTCGGTGAGGTGCAGGTAACCATCGCTTGTGGAATCAAACACAGGGTTCCCCTGTGTGGCTGATTCTGAAAGAGCCAGGTCCATCCGAGGAACATTCGCTTTGTCTTTTGCCATCGAAGTAAGTCACTTTCCTTGTTCTCAGTGTTTTTTACGTTCAACGTTTCTGAGATTTTTGAATTATTCACTTTTCATTCTTTCATACTTTATTTCTTCATGTTCACTGCCTCACTTGCCTTCTGATCTGGGGAATGTGATGGAGGTGACTGTTGGTTACTGCCTGGTATAATGGTTGTCGTGCTGTTGCTGTATTTCCGTCCTGCTCGCGACGTTGTAGATCACAAACAATTTGAAATCACATGAATTGTACTTACCGTCGTGCGTGTGGTATTAGGAAACGCTGTGCAGATTGGATCATCGCAATGTATCTATATGTATGTCTGGTCATCCTGTGCCACGCAAGAACTCCAACCAGACGCATTCGTCCTCTGCCCTGTTGACCGATTGTCCACTCGTCTTTCCTTGAAGAACGATCGATCAAAAAAATCGAGCTCGAGGACTTTTTGCAAAAAACGGCTGGAAAAAGGAAAAAAAGGTGCTCAGAATGAGATTCGAGTACACACCCATGGTCCCAGCAGTTTATGTGGATGTCGCTCATAGATGCACGATTTCGCGCAATGCACAGGCAGGCACAAACACATGCACACACATACACACACACACACACACACACACACACACACACACACACACACACACACCCTGTTACTAAATCAGTCACCAAGGCACTGCGACACTCACCTCGCTCATATGCTGGTCTTTTTTCTGGCATAAGAAAGTAGAAAGAAAAAAGAAACGGAACAGTTTGATCAATGTTTCATATCCGCAATGTCGTTTCCTTCCATTTTCTTTCTTCAGAATTACTCTTCAGAATGGCTTAGGCTACCTGCAGCTTCATCTCTGAAATATGGAAATCGGGTGAACACACCCATTCCCATTGCGCTGCACATCCGAACCAGCTCCGATACTTCACAATGTTTCTGTACTTGCCCATCATCAGGTAATAGGAACAATGAATACAGTGGATGCCACACAGGAGCTGTATTTATATATCATATTATGTGGTTCTCGTAGCCATGGCTGACAGTTCAATTCTATTTTAAGCTCGGAGTTGCACTGATGAGGCCTCATTGGCCGAAACAGTCTGGCTGTCTGCATCATTGAGTATATATATATATATATATATACACTCAGTTGCCTGAAGAGTGCTTTTGCACGAAACTCAGAGTAGCAACAGTGAGAAACTTGGAGATCCTTTGTGTCTGAGTGTATAACCCCGCTCTGTCTTAGGACATTGAGCACTTTTTGCCGACGCAAGAAATACTTCTATTGTTCTATATATATATATATACATATCTGAAACTCGGATGTTGAGCCATATATAAATGTGGAAAGGAAAAGGACATATGGATACGAGTTAAGAGTAACTCTCCATCACTGTAACTGGATACTATATACAGTCAGAAAGTGCAATAACTAGGCACAAAACTGACAAGAGTACTGAGACATTCGACGTCCTGACACCTAGCTTCACCACATCTCCGTAGCGCTAACCGACAGCCTTCCAACTTGGAAGGTTCAAGGTTATGAAAATACCAAAGAGGGGAAGGCAAGCGCAACGAAAACGAGTAAAAGCTATAGTCCCAACGAAACAAAGAATGTCGATTGTTACTGGACGATGACAAGACCAGTACGATATTTGACAAAGCGGTCTAACTACAATTCGAAGCAGCAAAGCAGCTCACCTCCCAACTTGGGTGGGTCATAAAACATATCAAAAAAGTATTCTTTCTAGACCAATGAGTGGTATATTTGATAAAATTTAATAATGATAGAAATATTTACGATACTTCTCCAGACGTTTCGTTGTTCTGAACAACATCGCCAGTGATTCTTTATCCACTGACGCTGTTGTTCAGAACAACGAAACGTCTGGAGAAGTATCGTAAATATTTCTATCGTTATTAAATTTTATCAAATATACCACTCTTTGGTCTAGAAAGAATACTTTTTTGATGTTACAATGAGAGTGGATAATCAACGGCTTGTCCACCAACTCTTTCATATAATATATACAGCTCTTGTAGTAGTTGAGCACTCTCATGTGAGGTTGTGCCTTTGCTATTTGCATTACGCAGAGCTCACTGACTTGTCAGTTCGAGCACTCTGACAAGGTACGTTCGCCCGATTTAAATCTGGCTTTGGAAATTTAGTGGTGGTGTCTTCAACTTCATTCTCCCGAGTCAAGCTCCGTATGCAGACATCCAAGAAAAAGATTGCCTGATGAGTCCAGCGGGGACGAAACGTACGTCGCAATCGAGCTATGTCGTTGCTGTGTCATCTTCTATGTGCCATGCGCTACTTGATGTACCAGCCTGCTATGTCGGATACCGCCAACCATGCATCGACTAGGCGCCAGGCGCGAACTGATGGTGGTGGTGGTGGTGGTGGTGGTGGTGGTGGTGGTGGTGGTGGTGGTGGTGGTGGTGGTGGTGGTGGTGGTGGTGGTGGTGGTGGTGGTGGTGGTGGTGAGAGGGAGAGCTCTGTGCCAGAACTTTGCAGCTTTGTGTGTGTGGGCAGGCGTGTGTTTACCGCCATAGCGCCAGGTGTGTCTTTACCACCATATTCAACCGTAAGTGAAGCTGCATAAGTACAGCTGCAGTGTATTCTATACCTACTTCCCCTTTAACTGAAGGCAACATATCTTCTCACACCAAGTTTTCTACAGGTTCATGTGTACAGACTGGCTCACAGGTGGATGTGCACCATCTTTTCCATGCAATAATTGCTGTACAGCCCAAATGCAATAATTGTGAACATGGGCGATAGCAGCTGTAATAACTGTCATCAAAGCTGAACCACTCTGGGATGTCTCAGCTGGTGCTGACCAAATTCACACTTGCAGGCTAGCGGTTTAGCAATAGTATATCTCTGTACACCCCCCCCCCCCTCCCCTGTATTTTACCTCCCAATATCTTACACCTTATTGAGCTGTATTCTTACCAAAGCAGGCAATCATGTGTTTGCTTCCAACCAGGTCAATCAGGCCGATGCCACTTTCTGCTGTATAATCTGTTCTGCCAAAATACAATGCTTTCGAAGGATCTCTGGTCCAGTATGTTGTAATATTTGCATATTGTGTTGCCTTTGCCAAGGCTTCAAAGACACAAGGACGAACATTGGATTTCAAGGTGTTGAATAGCGTGTAGCCTGGCCCGCAGCCTCTCGCGGCAGCCTTGTGATCCCCGATCATACTCTGACCTGCATAGACCCGCACTTTAGACTGTTGACACTCAATTATTTGCTCTGCAGAGCAAATCAACAGAATACACAGTCCGAAGTAGTGAATACACAGTCGTGTGAAAAAAACATAAGCTTATTTCCAACTAAAATCTGTTCATTGGGTCATGGATACATTTGAGCCATACCTCGAAGAGCTCAGTCAAGTGCGACTGTGCAGGAATGTAGAAAACGAAACTCAAAGCCAATCAACGTGCTTCGCTTGACTCTACTTACCGTAAAATCCCGCCAGAGCGCCCCGTCTCTCCCATCCGCCCCTCCCTGACTTCTTGTCAGGGACGTGATTGATTGTATCCTCGTATGACTCTGTCGCAGTCTGTGATGCCGTACTGTACTGCAGGCGCGTGCTCAACCCCGTTGGAAATGTACGCAACAGTGCCCACCCTCTTGACCAGGGATCGCACAAACCCTGCGTTTTGTCGGGTCTGTACGACTCCTGGCTCTTGACCTTTGGTCGGTGTACGAGATGCACGAACAGTTTTCGTAGGGTGAGTACTTTTTTCATGTAGCACTGAATGCGGCAAGTAGGACTCGCCCATCCGCCCCTCCCCACCTGAAGCGTCGAGGAGGTAGGGGCGCTCTGGCGGGATTTTACGGTAATTTTGTAACTTGAAGAGAAAAGGACAGACTTTTGAAGTTACTAGTTATGACTAACAGTCCACAAGGATATTGAGAAATTCGACGACTCACTCTCAACATCCTTATCAGTTGTGTGCCTTGTTGTCGCACTATCTGACGGTATATTATCTCATTACCTTGGTGGACTGTTAGTCATTAGTAGTAACATAGGTCCTTTCCTCTTTTAATAATAATTATTGGCTCAACATCCGAGTTTTCATTATGCACTTGATTTCCCAACTTTTCTGGCGGTTTGTCTGGGTTTGCCATCTATTTGTACGTCAAGTGCATCTACGCCTTAGATCTTTGCAGTGTGGTGGCGTTGCTACGGATGCCGAAAACTCAGTCTAACTTCGTCTCAAGCGAACCGTAAACATTTTTATTCTTTCTTATGAAGTGGAAGAATGAAGTTGAATACAGTCAGACCTCGCTTAACCGCACACATCCGTTTTCCACAAAAATATCTGGATAGGCGAGGGAACCGGATAATCGAACACACATACTGTATGTATGCATGGCATAAGCTGTAAATCGGTAACCAACGATTTTCTTCCGGATGGCGAGGGATCCGGATAAAAGAGGACCGGATAAGCGAGGTCTGACTGTACACCCATGCAGCTGTACATATGGTTGGGCCAAATGGTGGTAAATACACACACCCGACAATATGGTGTGTATTTAGCACCATAATAAGCAACCATAAGTACAGCTGCATTGGTGTCTTCAACGTCATTCTCCCGAATACAGCTCTGTGTGAAGACAGCCAAGAAGAAGATTGCCTGGTGAGTCAAGCCGGGACAAAACGTGCGTCGCAATCGAGCTATGCAGTTGCTGCGTCATCTGCTATGTGCCATGCGGTACCTGATGTACCAGCCTGCTATGTCGGGTACCACCAGCCCTGCATCGACTAGGCGCCAGGCACGAACTGATGGTGGTGATGAGAAGGAGAGCATTGTGTCAGAACAACTTTGCAGCCTACAGAGCATGTGTGAGCAGGCATGCATTTTACCAGGTGTGTGTTTACCACAATACAGATCAACTCGGATGGAGAGCCAATGATTAAAATTTAAAAAGAGAAGACCAAAAGTTTACAAGTTATCTGTTTTGTCCAACACTAACGATTATAAGCAGGATAATGGTGAGTAAATATGTGCAACAATTAACACAAAGCTGGCTGATGTCATACTGACATTCAACGACCTGATGCTTAGCTGCATCACGTCTGTAATGCGCATTCCAGACGTGATGCAGCTCAGCATCAGGTCGCTGAATGTCAGTATCACATCAGTCAGTTCTGTGCTAAATGTTGCACATTTTGACTCATCATTATCCTGATTAAAAAAAACAGAAAAATTGTAAACTTTTAGTCCTCTCCTTTTTAATTTAGATAAACCTTTTTTTATTGTAAGATTCAACTCGGATGGTAAGCCAATTAAGTTATGGAGAAAAAGGAGAAGGACAAAATGTTACGAGTTATGACTAACTGTCCACCAACGTAACCAGATCTTATACAACTGACAAGGAGTACTGAGAGAAGTGTTGGAGCTAGGTGTCAGGACCACACCCAGTGGCTAGTGATCTGTTGAAGATCAAAGTCAATGTAGGCACCAGTTCATGTGCACAATCACGCAGCACAATGCCTGGGATTGAATCACTACCTGTCGCTTTATGGAGGTTCACACTTTCTAAGAGCTTGCAGACATCACTAATAGTGACAGACTGGAAATGATTTAAGGTGTCTGGCGTATGAGGTCCCTAGGGAACCATTAACTGTGATGGACTGCTTACATCATGAACAATGTCCCCAAAGAATTGGCTTGCTTTTTCAACTGACACCTTTGGTTTTTGTCTAGGTGCCCGCCTACCGGTGGCGGTGTTCATGACTTGCCACAGCTTCTGCTGGTCTGAAGTAGCACATTTCAGGACAAAGAATTCATTTTGAGGTGTCTGTCTAGTCGGCAAGCTTGTACACAAGCCATGCAGTGATGCTGCCTCAAGTCGTCATTTCCTGGGTCTCAGATCAAGCGCTGAATCAGACGATTTCGCTAACGGACAATGCCAACAAGTTCACCTGCCAACCATGGACATGCACGTCTTTTCTTTCTTGTTCTGGATACAACCAAGAGTACATAACCCCCCAGAGTGTGCAACTCCACTATGGGTGCTGTCCCGACAGAATTTCAAGTTGACGTCATTTTGATGATGCAATGCGCACTGTACACGGACTATCAGACGAATCCGGAACCTGTGGTTGACCGAAGCCGATCGATCCTGTACAAATTATTGCAAAGAAAAACGTGTGATGCGTTGACACCCGTGTACATGTTGTAAATCACTGCTGCAAGGAGCATTGCGTCATAAATAATGACGTCAACTTGAAATTCTGTCGGGACAACAGGGTATGTGGGAGTTGCACACTCTGGGGGGTTATGTACTCTTGATACAACTGATGCATGTTTTTCAATAACAGCAGTGATAGTGCTATGCCTGACAGAAGCAGATCGACATACCAAGCTGGTTGAAACGGACGCTCAACGATCGATGTTCGCCCGAAACTTCGCTTTGGAAACTCAAAGTTCCGATGCTGATGAGCCTCCATGGTGTCCACACAAGCAGCAATCAGAGAGGAAAAAGACACACAACTACGAGAATTCTTTGGCAAAAGTGGAACACAAAAAGCAGCGGATCAGCGAAGGTGCGCAAGCGAAAAGCGTCCGGGGATGTGCATCACACAGTGTACATGGTCGTAGGCCATACCGGTAGCCCTATATGCACGTACACTCGCATGTGTTACGCGTAGGGCTCCCTGGTGCAAGCCAGGAAGTCGTACGACCCCCTACGACTCCCTGGTGTAGGCCATGCAGCCTTGCAGGGCCTTCAAAAAAACGTGGTCGGGCGAAAAAGTGGTCCGGCCAAAGCCGGACCGGCCGGAACGGCTGCTACGCCCCTGCTCTGTGCTCTTTTTTGGGCCAACACACACACTCCATGTTGAGCCACCATACGCTCTCCATGTTGAGCCACTCACTCTCTTGTGCTCTATGTTGAGCCACACACTGTCTCGCGGCCACTCCCTCTCTTGTGCTCTATGTTGAGCCACATTGCCTCACTCGCAGCCACCACCCGCATAACTCCAAACTCACCGACCTATGTGTTGGTGTACTTCATAGCGGCCAGGCACCGCTGCCACATTGAAACAGTGAAATAGTGCTTCCTAAATGGAACATGACTGTTACTTACCGACCACGCGTACGCAAAGATATGGTAAGAGTTGTAAGCAAGTTGAGGTTTGTTGACTAGATAGACCTTCACCTGCATGAGACACGGTGCATGAGACATTCTCCCTTCGGACCCAGTATGGGAAACCTTTTCTGATGGTGTGGGATTGAAGGATCAGATTGAAGTCATCAGCACTTGCTGCATGTGCAAGCACTGAGCGACGTAAGGAAGCACAGAAAGAATTAGCCTCGTGCCAGGCGAGAGGGTGATTGGGACGAAATAGATATTCCAGTCTTGGATGGTCCTTGGAAGCTATCCATTCATCTGGCCGAACATTTACACACCAACACACATAAAACTGGGAATGAGTACAAAATAATTATACTTCCAGCACAAACTGTAGAGTATCCGAGGCCAATCAATGGCCTTATGGAGTGTGCAATACATGCACGTTTGCTGCAAAATGGACAAGTTTGGAGTCGATAGGTGTACACACGCGCGCGCACACACACACACACACACACACACCATTTGACGCCCATCACCGGAGGCGGTGATAGCGATGCTACAGCAGAAGCCTTAGCAGCTTGTGCTGGGATTGCATCATTCAACAGCTTGCAAGGCTGAAGAATTGACCGCCACTATTCCGCCCTTTTTTAGTGTTTATTTGAATTCGGATAGCTCAACAGGTACAGAAGTACCACTACAAAGAGTACCGAAAAGAAGGCCCCGAGAACAGGAAAACCCCCAAAAACAACAACAACAAAACAGCAACAACAGTTTTTCTGAGACAAAAATGCGATAATACTCATAAAAAGAAAAAGACAATTACTGGCATGGCAGTGACCGGAACCGCATCAACTAGAAGAATGACAAGATCGGCAACGACGGCGACGGCAGCGACTGAGGCACTGACAGAGGCAACGGCTAGGGTCCACTCGACTAGCTTTGTGATATCGGATGGGTCCACCGCACACGCTGATTGTTCTGATGTTAGTTCTGATAAGTATGAGTCGTCCATTGCTAGTCATTTGTTTGAGCATCCTGATTGTCGTGATGTGTATTCAGATGATTGTTTTTCGATTGTGTCGCGTGTACGCAGTGCTAGATTGCTGAATGTTTTGGAAGCCGTATACATCCAAACAAAGAAACGCAACCTTTGCAAGCAGAAGCAAATTAAATTCACACCTAGGCTGTTAGGTAGGTCGTCAAAACCTCGTTAGTTATGTCCAGTGGTTGTCTTTTGTTGTCGCACTACATGTCACGCTTATTGAGTTTTCTCGCACTTGCACCTTTGTGTCATTATTGCTATAGGTCACGCATTTTCGCTGTTTATTAAAGTCTTTAGCTATCTTCTTCTTTGTGCTGTTTTTACCACCTCCTTACTGTACTTAATCCACTGTTCCTGTTCCTTTTCCCTTGCCTGCATTTAACCTGATGAGGAGGCTTGAAAGTATACTTGTGAAAACAAAAACTTTCAAGATGTTCGTAATGAGCCGGAAGTGTGTCCTTTTTATGAGTATTAACAACAACAACAATTTACTGATTATGCACATTGCTTGAAAGCAAATCACAACAATGATTAAGAGTTAAGCTGTCTCTTAGCCAAATAGCCAATTTGACGCGGAAATCTTTATAATTTTATTATTATTATTATTTGAGGGATTCCCCAAAGGCCGAAGCCTAAATCAAGGGGTCTCCGAGAATAAATATACGTATACAATGCGTGTACTTGGTCCGGCTCATCGCAATTGTCGCTTATCCTCACGCACTTTTTGACAGGTAAAACCCAGTCCAATCACGATATCTAACTTACTTTTGCTTGGGAGGTCGTGATGGCAAGATCAAAGGAGGCACCAAAGAAAAAATGATCGCGACTAGCGCTTTGAATCGCGATGTATTTGACTTTTTTTGGGAAGTGGGAATCTGGCCATTCACTGTCGCCAAAAGCCAAGCGCAGCGACCCGAAGACCGGAACTGTAGCAGGGGCAACTGACATCCTGGCCTGGAGAGCGTGACAGGCACGCGTGTACGGCAGAAAAGTACGAGCTTCATGCTGAAGAGGAAAGGTGTTTTTGATGCGATGCGCCTGGCCGACGTGCTGGTTGTTCCTTCTCTTGAGTCTTGGTGGACCGAGCAGCCGCATTACAAGAGTTGTGGCAAGCGTATCCAGCGGAGCGTATGACAGCTGTCTGGAGAGGCCTGTATGCCTCATTCGAAGGCTTTGTTGAAACACACTGTGGTGACACACATAACAGGTCACACTGCCCACGGTTCCTTCAAGCACAGAAGTGACAGCCACAACTGTTCCTTTCCCATTGCTGCCATACGACAGGCTGAGAACGCAAGAGATACTCTACCACTGGTACCAGTCTACGCCAGCACTACGCCGGCAGCAGCTAGACAACAGCAAATGTCAGCTCATGTAACGGTGCGGCTCGAAAGGTGCAGAGTTGAATGAACTCTGGACCTGTATTACTAGTGTGAGTGCAAGAACGCGCTTCTTCGCTGATTTATTTCGTGCATTTTGCTTATCTTGCTTCCTTTCTTCGACTCGCTTCACCTGATTCCATTGATGATTTTTTACTTGTGGCAGAGAGTATTCATGTATCATGCTTCCTTACTATGCCTGTTGGAAATTTGACAGAGCGGTAAAAAAACTCCTGTTCTTAGTGGCGATAGATAAGCGACAATTGCGATGAGCCGGACCAAGTACAATAATAGGGTGCAATTCTTAAAAGGAAGAAAATATTAAGATAAAAAATATTAATGTGAAAAGGTTAATTATTAAAGAGGTCTGAGTAGAAGCAAGCGAAAAGGGTACTGGTAAAGAGGAGGGGGGGGGGGGGGATAATCAGGAAGTGAGAAAACCTCGAGGATGGAATCTATACCTGTGGAAATGTGACTTAACGTGCCGGCTAAATACACCACGGGTTTCAGATATCCTAATCTCGGTAGGCAGGGAGTTCCACGTGGTGATCATGGAATGTAGTAGAGTGGATCGGAAACAGGGACCAGTGTGAGTGGGCAGGAGGTAAAAGTGGGGACGTCGTGCACTCTTGGATAGAACTATGTTGAAATTATTGAGGGTTTCCGGGTATTGGCGGGTGAAATGGTAAAACAGTTTGAGGCAATGTATATGCCGCCGCCACACAAGACTTTCCCATTCAGCAGCCTCAAACAAGTTCTCCATGCCATGAGGAAAGGGCACTTTCCGACAGTGTAAATACTGCCTGGCCACGCGTGCTTGCAATCGTTCCAGAGTGTCAATATTTCCCGCGGTCAGTTTGTTATTCCACAGAGTTGAAGCCTACTCGATGGAGGGACGGACGTATCCTTTGTAGAGGCGGGCAATGAGAGCAGGGGTCAGAGCAAAGAGCAGGGATCTGCGGTAGTATTGCAGGACTTCAGGTCGTCTGGTAAAATTCCAAAGAAGAGCCGATTTACTTGAAATGGACAGAAAGCCAGACATAGATCTATAGCGATTGATACTCATGTGATGAGTTGTTGAGCCGCGAGTAGCTCGGGTAGACGTACAGATGGGAAAGATGGACTGCAAGCAAACAGCCGGCTTAGTACAGTAACAGTGGAAAATGAATACAAGGAACAAATATACTGATCGATATTGGAAAGAGGAAACATTGAGGTGGTGAAGAAGTTGCGTGATATTAGCTTGGGGTGATGCGCCACAAGCAACTCGTACAGCGCGCCGGTGGAGTGAGGCTAGCTTGTTTCTATTTTTAACGGATAAAAACGAAAGGTATACAGGCTGAACAACACCGACAACGAACGTACGGCGGGAAAACAGGTTCAACAGCTACGGCGGGAAAACAGGTTCAACAGCTACGGCGGGAAAACAGGTTCAACAGCTACGGCGGGAAAACAGGTTCAACAGCTACGGCGGGAAAACAGGTTCAACAGCTACGGCGGGAAAACAGGTTCAACAGCTACGGCGGGAAAACAGGTTCAACAGCTACGGCGGGAAAACAGGTTCAACAGCTACGGCGGGAAAACAGGTTCAACAGCTACG